CCTTAACCACATTGGAATATTTTTCCCAACTTGGGGCTCCAAATGCCAGCGGGTTCACTGTTATGTTTAAGGTAAGTGATAGAAACCCATGAAGCTAGCTGGTCTCAACCAAGGGCAGAGACATAGATAGGCTTGAGGAACAGGATAGAATCAGGGGCTGGACAACTAAAAAGCTCCAGAAACCCTCTCTCAAAATTTCTTTCTTGGTAGATCTACTTCATTCTTCTCTCCCTAGGAGAAAAATGACAGCCACTGCCAACGGCTCCCAGGTTTACATCCTCTCTGGCTGGGATTTCTTAGTTCCAATCCCAAATTCCCAGGGAAGAAGCTCGTTGGCTTAGGCTGAGTAGCTATTCACCCTTGAACCAATCAACTATGGGGACACACAAACATGGCTGCTCCCATTGTATCCCTGGATAGATGGGAAGTAAGAGTGATCAGCAAAAAGGGCTGGGCAGAAAACCCGGTAGGTGTCCACTGCTTCCTTTAGTCTTAGGAGTCCCTTTGTCCCTGTAACACCTTCTTTCTCATCTTGTGCAGCCGGCGGGGCTCTTCCTGACATCCTGCAGCAGGGCCGGCTGCTGGTTGTGGACTACGCCACCTGCTCCAGCCCCAGCTGGTGGGGCAGCTCCGTGAAGACCAATATGGTCTGTGCTGGGGGTGATGGCGTGATCTCCAGCTGCAATGTGAGTGCAGAAAGTCAGGTGCCACCCACCCCTCCACAATGACATGGGGCTGGGGGTGGGGAGAGGCTCTTGAGGGTCCTAGATTCTATCCTCCTGCTTGCTACTATCAGAAGCACCAGGAAACTGTTCCAGACATTGGAGACCCGGACCTTTGTCCTTATAGTCTCCAGAAAAGATGTTTTGAGGTGTTCGTCATTTTATCTGCCCTGTCACAGATGGGAAGTCCTTCCTTGGGTCTCATTTGGGTCCCTCATTACTGTCATCTCTCTTACTCTTCCCTCTGTTTAGGAAAAGAGCCAAGGGCAGGTAGTCTCTGGGTAAGATCCTTTCTGAGGTGACTTCGAGTTTCTCTGTGGAATTAATCCCACCAACAGCCCAGTGTGTCCCTCATGGTAGCTGCCACAGGGCCTTCCTGGAGACGGTGTCTTAACCAAAAGGAATTGCAGCAGAGTGAAGACAGAGCAAGAAGGAGCCTCGCATGCCCCACGATCACACTGTGCCCCTACACTCTGCCCCCACGCAAACCAGTCCAGTAGGGTCCCTCATCACGGGCCGAGGAACACGTGGCACTCTGACTGTGAGACACAGTCTCGGCTCCTTTACTTACCGCCTGGACAACCTCAGGCAGTCACAGCCTCGTCTCAGGGGTCAGCACTTCCTCTTCAGTGAAATGGGGACACAAACAATACTGACCTCATAGGTTTTGGTGAGGATCGAAGGAGAGGAGATAAGGCATAGAAAGTGCAGGCTCAGTTCCAGGCCCACAGAAAGAATCAGAGTTAGGTCTTGGTGTTATGGTGGCATCTGGAGCTGTGACCACAGAGACTGGTCAGAGGCCATGGTGACAGGGGAAGGAACAACATACATGTACTATAAATGGGTGAAGCAAGGGGCTCTCATGGGCAGCCCCGCCCCCTCACATGACCCAACCAAGCCCCCAGGTCCATGCTGACGGAGCTCTGGCCTTCCTCAGGGAGACTCCGGCGGACCACTGAACTGCCAGAATGCTAACGGCCAGTGGGAAGTGCACGGCATAGTCAGCTTCGGGTCCTCCCTCGGCTGCAACTACTACCACAAGCCCTCTGTCTTCACCAGGGTCTCCAACTACATTGACTGGATCAATTCGGTAAGCACTGGCCATGGCCTCAGGCAGCGCCCACCTAGGGTTGGAGAACCCCTCCTTCCCCCTGAGAGCCAGGCAGGGGCCCCTTGAGGGGGCTGCAGACCTGGCAACCTCCAAGGCCCCCCACCACTTCTGCATGGGTAAATTGAGTCAAAAGGCCCGGAGAAGGTGGCCTTGTCCAAAGAGGCCGCAAACAAAGGGCGCTCTCTGGGCATGGAGAGTGGACTCCTTGGGGTGAGTGGAGCCCTCTGTTTTTGCTTATCTGAGTATAACCCCCCCAATGCTATCCACGTATCTATCTGCAAAGCCTAGAACCTGATAGGTAGAGACCTGCACAGCCTTAATCGTTGGCAACTATTCCCTCTAAAGGGCCCCCTACCTAAACGCATCCCTGAGTGCACATGGTAAGTGACAACCATCTTGGTTTGCCCTGGACTGGAAGGTTGCTTGGGATGCAAAACTTGACGTCTTAGATTGGGACAGACCAGGCAAATGGGACTGAGTTGGTCCCACTGCTATTGGGGGTGTGTCCCCAGAGAGCTGTCTCCTGGGAGCTCAACACCAGTAGCTCATAAGCTTCCGCACCAGCTCGATGACTGTTTTAACAAAGAGCATACTTTTGTAACAAAAGCCATGAAAGTCATTCTTTGAAAAGCTGGCGCCAGGGTTAGGAGAAGCTGTGGTTACAACTAGCAACGGGTATGAGCAGCCCCAACAGGGAGCACCATCCAAAGAAAGGAGGCTTGGGGGGATGTGAAGGGCATGGGGAAACTGAGGCAGGCAGGAGGAGGGAGGGAAGAAGGCACTCTGTGCCGACTGGGGACACTTGTCACCCACCTGGAATTGCCAGCACCTCAGTCTGCTCTTCTGTAAAATGGGACTCCAAGGAGACCAAGGCTCCTCCGTGTGTTCAGGAGCTGGAGCAAGTGGGAGTCGGGTGCTTATGGTACAGCTCCGAAGGAGAAGCTGGCATCTAGTTCAGCATTTTAATTTTCAGAGAACTGTTCGACTGACTCAAACTGACACTCTTATAAAATCAAACATAAAAGCACAGCCGTGAGCATGTGGTCACAGGGGGAGAACTGCGCTGTCAAATGGGCATTGTCAAAATAAGCAGGTGGCAGCCTCCAAGGTTCCCACTGGTATCTGCCGGCGCCTCGCTCATTTGTCTGTCTGCTAGCGTTTCTTTGCCAACAAGTGGTCACAGACTCCAGATGACTCCAGAAAAGTTTGTAGGAGAAAAATGTAAAAGCAAGAGAGTAGCTGTTCGTCTGTAGGGTTTTGTTTTTGTTTTGTTGTGGGTAAATTGGGGGAAAGCCACGATTCCATTCTGGTAGAGTAAATCCAAGTCTGGCTTTTAAAGCGTCACCAGCATTTCAAAGGAGCCTGACCCCAGACCCACTGGATGGGAGGATGCTCAGAGGCCTTTTCCCAGACAAACCCTAGGACCCTTTCCCAGCCCCGGCTGCCACATGAGTCACCGTGCAGCTGGTTCTGGCAGCTCGAGGGCCCGAAGCAAGTGCCCCGGCATCAGCTGTCCCAGCCCACAGCCAAAAGCATGGTCCAATGTCAGAGGGGCTCAACAGGGAAAGGGGGCCTTCTGAGGCAGCTGGGCAGGGGTCCTGCATTCACAGGACAGCAGCCTGGGCAGACACATAGGCCTGGTGACGGGCTCCAGGACCAGCAGAGCCAAGAGCGCAGCTGTCCTCTGGCTCAGGCTGCCCCGCCCACAGCTGCAGGGGCTGGCAGACCCTTGCCGTGGTCTCAGCCCTGGGGCGCTTCAGAGCACCTGCCCAGACAAACCCAGACAAGTGTCAAGGTCAGGAAGTTGCCATCCAAAGGCAGGAGCAGGAACGAGACATGAGGAGACAGGTGGCCAAGGGTGTTCGATTTTCCACCAAATGTTCGTTGAATGACAGCAACGCATGAATTCTCAGCCCTCACCGCTCTATTTTTCTTTTTACTTTAGAGGGTAATATATACTCTATAAAAACCATCAGAAGAATGCAGGAGGATATCCAGTAAAAAGTACAGGCCCCCCCTTGTCTTATATCTCTAAGTCTGTCCACACCAGACAATCATTGTTAACACGCATCTTTTAAACTTCGTCACACAGATACAGTCTTCTAAACAGAAATAGGGTTTTACTGTTTATACTGTTCTGCAACTTAGTTTTCTCACTTAACACCGTATCACATTACATGTGAGCACATACAGGTACAGCATTCTTTTGAACAGCTCAGAAATATTCCATAGTATGAATATACACCTGGTTCCTATTTTCCGCTCTCACGCCGCACAGTGACACCCTGGGACATCCCTTCTTGCACGCTGGTCGAGTGTGTACGCTCTGGAGATCCATGGGCATCTCTGGGTCGTATAGTTGGAGTGTGAAAACGTTTGAGAAAACTGTTGAACGGCCTCTCAGAAGAGGTGTACAGCCCCGCCCACGGCGCGAAGCAGCGCTATGCAAACAGTGGTGCTGGTTAACTATTTCAGAGCCCCCCCGCTTTGAGAAACACATGAAATCTGAAAAGCATGTGACTGGTAGGAGTCCCCCGGGCAGGCTGCAGGCTGGTGAGCGGCTGTGAGAACGCCCCTTGCTCTGGTTCACCTGAGCAGCAGAGCTCGGAGGGAGGAAGCCGGGACGCTGCCCAGAGCAGCTCTCTGCTCCGCCCGGACAGCCTGGCTGAGTTCTTGTGTGTGCCCTCCAGGTGATGGCAAACAACTAACCACCAGGAGACTTGGGAAGGTCACAGAAGAAAAATAATAAACTGACAACTACGTGAATCACTTCTGGGTGAGAGTCTTATTAGCAAACCATCCCCACGCCCAGGGCTCTAAGAGCAAGACAGAGGCTGAGTCAGGACACTTTCAAAGATCTCAGGTTGGGGCCTTCTCTGGGGAAGCCCACCGGGTCGCTGTCCTACAGCACGGCCACCACGAAGTGCAGGGTCCTTCTGCCAGGAAGGCACCTGCAGGCCCAGGCTGCACTCAGAAGACCAGGCCCCGAGCAGGTCTCTCCACTGGCTGATGAGCTCCCCTGGACAAGCCACCTGACCTCTCTGAGCATATGGTTCCCACCTCATTCACCTTCCGGGATGGGGATCAAATGAAATGTTTTTAAAAAAGCGAAAGTCTCCTTCAGAAGGAATGACAAAGAGTTAAAGCAACATGATGAGGGGAATAGGTAAGAGAGAGTCCATTTCACCTAAGATTTATTTTTTAAAAATCCTGTATACAGGAAAAATGAGTAATTTTTAAGATGTTATTTAAGATTCACAGATTAAAGCTGTTCAGGCCCCAGAAGTCCTAAACTTGCTGATCTGAGAGAGATACTGGTTGGTTTGTAGGTAAAAACTTCCCCCAGTTCAGTGGTTCTCAGATGGGGGGCCCCCGGGGGACACTTGGCAATGTCTGAAGACATTTTTGGTTGTCACCACTCAGGGAGATGCTAATGGCATCCCGTGGGTAGAGGCCAGGATGCTGCTGGACATCCCACATGCACAGGACACACCCCTACCCCCAGCAAAGGATTATGGGGCCTCAAATGTCAACAGTGCTGAGGTGGAGAAGCCCTGCTCTGGAGCAAATACCAGGACCACAGACACGGTCCCTGGCCAGGCAACCAGCCACTGGTGGAAAGCCACACTGTCCATGGCATTCTTCTCTGCTCTTCCTCCGTCGTCAGTCATTTGTCCCCAGTTTGGACGCTGCTGAGAGTGTCTGCCGCCAGTGGGGAGGAGCAGACCCTCCACGGGCTACAAAGTCCTTCCACCCGTGACAGCCGTGGGTGAAGAGAGCGCAGGTCTCAGCCGACACCGGGAGAGGGGGAAGGGAGGCCTGGGGGTAAAGGGCAAGGCAGGGTCGGGGCCATGGCTTCCTTAAGTTCGAAAGAAGAGTTTTTTCCGGAGGAAATTAATGCAACCAGGGATCTGTTTGTAGACCCCTTTCTCCGACACGGCATGAGCGACCTGTGAAAACACGACCACACGGAGTTCTGTGAGTTCTCTCCATCGGAGTAACAATCCCCTCGATGCCTGCAATCGGGGAGGAGTGGTGGGGAACGTCCCCTGAGTCAGCACTGCAGGCTCTAACCGCAGCCTCCCTGGGGGCCGGGGGGTTCAAAACTAAGCACTCAACCACAAGTTTAGAAAACTCAGAATCCAAAATTTCAAAATTCAAACATTCACCAAGTCCGGGCTTGGAGAAAAGCTGGGAGAAGCAGTGGGGCCCAGGAGCAGAGCTCGCTGCTCGGCCCGGGGACCCCCCGCCTGACCCCGCAGGACCCGGGGCTGCCTCTGCGGCTCACCTGCCCAGGCCTCGGCACCTGGGGGCCCTGCACTTGGCTTTCCTTCTCCACTCTGCTTGGCAAAGCACAGAGCCGGAGCCTCCTCAGGAGAAAGGAGTGGTCTCAGCCCCTTCTCATGGCACACAAATACCTGAGCAGGGCAGATGGGGCCCACGAGTGCTCTGTGACCCTCGGGGGAAGCAACTGCTCTGAGTTGCACTGGAGAGGCCGGGCCCTCTCGGCCGTCCTGCCACGTTCCCCCAGTGGGGGCCTCCCAAGAAGGGGACATCCTAAAGAGGACTCATGGCTCTTGAGGGTCAGGAGCAGTCCTGGCCAGTGTGGCTCGGTTGGAGCATCGTCCTGTAATCTGAAAGGCCACGGGTTCAATTCCTGGTTAAGACACATGCCTAGATTGCGGGTTCAATTACCAGTCGGCATGTGCCTAGGTTGTGGGTTCAGTTCCCCATCAGGGTTTATACAAGAAGCAACCGATCGATGTTTCTTTCACATTGATGCTTCTCTCTGTCTCTCCCTCCCTCCCTCCCTTCCCCTCTCTTTAAAATCAATAAGCATGTCCTCAGATGAGGATTAAAAAAAATCGAGAGAGAGAGAGAGAGAGAGAGAGAGGGAGTAGATGACCACGCAGTGGGGCAAAGGGTGCAGGGACATAGGGACAGCCCCACGACCTGCCTTCAGAAATGCTATGCTCTGTCCACCGAGCCAGCCAACCCTGGTGCTGAGGACTGGCTCTGTCAGTGGGAGGAGCGGAGCGAAGGGTGTCAGCCTGGGGACCTCAAAGAAGCCTAGGATGGCAGCCCTTGGAATAAGGGGCAAATGTCAGCGCAGGCAGTGACATCTTGCACTAGAGAAGCAAAAGCACTGACTCATGGCAAGCCAAGGTGCAGACATGGATGGGGTTTCTCCACCTTTTACCTTCAGTCTACCTGCTCCCCGCCCCGGCCCCACCTCCCTGCCCCTCCCAGCAGCCGCCCCTTTCCTTCCCAGAAGGCGGGGCTCACCCTGAGCAGGAGGCTCTGCAGGTCTTCAGAGTGAGCCCACTGCTCAAAAACGCCATCCAGGGTCTCCACGTACCAAGAGCCACTGTCGCGGTCCCTCCAGGAGACAAACCCTGCGAAAGGAGAAAGGCCGGGCTTGGCTGGGAGCCGCTGCCGCCCCACACAGGCCTCCCCCAGTCTCTGCCGCATTCACAACTCCAGCAGGAGCAGCAGTGACCTGCACCTATGCGGGCCACCCCGCCACGACCTCGTTTCATCCTCAGCACCACCTCATGACGTCCAGTTTTCCCACGAGGAAACCAAGCCTCAGAGAAGCCAAGGGACTCCCACCAGGGACAAGAAAGGAAGGATACTGACACCTGGCCCACCTGCTACGTGCCAGGTACCTTGCTAATTCCCATGGCAACAACTGAGGTATGTTATTATTCCCATTTTAAAGATAAGAAAACGGAGGCAAGGCCAAGAAGAGGGTGAGGCACACAAGCCCAAGCATGTATTTCTCCTTAAATTTAGTATCCTAGGCACCTCACCTGCCTTGCTCAGTGAGGCTCAGAGGGGCTCAGAGAGGTAAAGTAACTCACTCAGGGACACAGAGGTGGCAAGAGGCAGAATGAAGACTCATGCCCAGGTGTTTTCTTTCACAACACAACTGCTTCTAAGACAGATTGGGGCTGCGGAGGGTGTGGGGGTGGCCACTGGCTGATGCACTCACCTGGGAAGGTAGAGTAAGACACAAAGATGTCACTCGGCGTGGGCAAACTAGACACAGCATCTGGCTGGTCACAGGTGCCTGGCTTGTCCAGGAACGGGGCAGCGTCTGGCTCCGCGTTACCGCCAAGGGCCCTGTCCTCAGGGGCAGCGGAGACCACCTCAAACCCCCGGTCTCTCTGATCTGCAAGAAGCAAAAACAGACAGGACTCGTCACTGAACCCAGAGCGGAGCTCCCACTCCGTGCAGCCTGCCCCCGCCCCAGGCCACCCGACTCCCTCTGGAGCAGGTTCCGGTGCTGGGTGAACGGGCAGCAGGAAACCGAAACAGAAGCTTTACTTTTTTTCTACAACAAAAGTTTATTCATTAAGTAAACTTGGGGGGCAGAGGGTGAGAAGATGCAGAAATTTAAAACACAGCTACAAAAAGCCCCAAGGTGCACACCCACAAGAACTGAGAAGAGGTGTCCAGACAAAAGCTGGCAGCAGTCATTCACAACACGCAAAAGGCAGAGACAGCCCAAGCGCCCACCAACAGCTGAGCACACAAAACGGTGCTCCCGTCCCAAACTTAAAAACGCCCAACTGCGAAGACTTGTATTAAAAAAAAAAACACCATATAGCCCTGGCTGGTGCAGCTCAGTGGATTGGGCATGGGCTGTGGACCAAGGGGGTCGCTGGTTTGATTCCCAGTCAGAGCACATACCTGGGTTGTGCCCAGGTCCCCAGGGGGTGCCGCATGGGAGGCAGCCACACACTGATGTTTCTCTCCCTCTCTTTCTCCCTCCCTTACCCTCTCTCTAAAAATAAATAAAATCTTAAAAAAAAACATCATATAAAACTCATCTTTTTTTAAATTTTGGTAGGAAGTGTTGAGGTAACCGTCCACAATACACACAGCGCCCCCTTTAGGACGACTGAGGGGAGAACACTCTCCATCCCTGGCCCTGTCTGCAGCAGCAGCAGGGGGATTTAGGCTCTAGGCTCAGCCGCCTCCGCAGGACCTGAGGGTGCACATGTACATCCCAAACTCACCCCCTTGCGTTTCCTCTACTTGGTTCTATAGGAGCCACGGAGATGTTGGCAGCTTCTGACCCCATCATTTCCTAAGGAAACAATTCATGTGGAGGCAGAAGCCCTCTATTGAAAGCCCCTGGTGGCCATGAGTGCCAAAAACTGGGTCTCACCCGAAGGGCCAACGCCAGAGGGACGGTTTAGTGGGTGAGAGCACATCACTGAAACGGAGGATTAGAAGACCACCTGGACTAGAGACGATGAAGACCCTGAAGGCGTGGGGACGTGCTTAAGGGGTTATGTCAGATGAGAAAAGTGGACAGAGCCCGTGGGCCAAGGTCAGGCTCACAGGACTCTGGATGATTTTAACTTGTCATATTTTTCTATCTCTTCAGTCTTAAAATCCAAACTCCCCCAAAGTGGCAGACAGCCTGGAAAACAGAGGGGTCAAGGCGAGACGGGCCACGCACAGCTCTGTCATCAGAGTGGCCGCACTGTGAGAGGTCACTGGGACGAGTTCCAGAAGTTGAGCCCCCTGCAGGGGACCCCAGGCTCCTCCAGAAGCAACGCAGCAAAGAGCTTCAGGAACACGGGCAGCAGTGGAGGGTGCAGGGTTTCCTTGGGCAAGGGGTTCTGGGACCCAGCCTCTGATGCGGGGTGGGAGAATGGCACCTGCCGAGCAGGCCGGCTAGCCACAGTCTGTGTGGCAGGATCTACAGTGGGAAATAGCAGGAGGGAGGGAGGGCCCAGCTCACCCAGGGAAGGTGGGGTCCCGTCTGGAGGAGACAAAGATGAGACAGAGGCAGTTCTGACACCCCATGATAACAACTCTGACATTTGCTGACCTCTCACCCCCTCCCCCTAAAGCTCAGAAACTTGGTGATTTGTCTGCATCCCCACAGCCCATGGGCAGGGCCTTGTACCTTCCTGCCTCTCACCCCCTCCCCTGCTGTATGCCACAGAGGCCCCAAGCCTGCAAAGGCGGCTTCTAAGACCTGTGAAAGCTGGACTACAGTGACTCAGGTCACCGCTCCTGCTCATTGTCTTGGTTGAGATTCTGGAATCTGCCTTAGGCGTCTAGGAATGACTTCAGTGGGACAGCAGAGGGGACCTGAGATGTGAGCGTGGGAGGGCTGCTGGGTCCCCCTGGGCAGCCGGTGCAGGGGGGAGGAGGCACTTTGGTGGAATGACTTAAGACTGGCCTAAGGGGATGGGAGGGCAGAGAGACTGCCCCTGAAAAGCGGGGCAGACACAATGGGATCCGAGAGGGGACTATGAGGGGAAAAAGAGTGGGTCAGGCAGGGGACACCAGTCTGTGTCCATTCATGTGTCATCCTCAATCTGCAAACCCGATGTGAAGGCCTAGCTCCAAGGTTACGCACTTTATGCCCAGCTCCGTTCTTCAAGAGCCTCACTAATTCAAAACCCCCTGGGAAGCAGGACTGACTTCCCCACAAGCGTAAACACACAGCAGGAAGAGATGCCATTCCCTCTGTGCATAACCATTGGGCATATCCAGCTTCCTGCTGCCTCCCAGCATGAGATCTAAAATCCGGAAGGGGGGCACCCAAAATCAACATCTCGGCCCAACGGAGGCCACACGGCTTTGGCCAAGCGCATCACCAGCTGTCTGCTGCCTTCTATCATGACACTGACTGCCATTCACACCAAAGTGACCGTCCCCAAAGTGACGCATCTTTTCCACCCAGGTGCCCACACTGCCTCTTAATGCAGGGTGTTAGAGGATTTTAAAATTGTTTCAGATTGTAACAACAGTGAACGTAAGATTCAGATTGTAAAACAGCAACGTAAGAGTCACCAAAACCCAGGACAGACTTTCCGATGCAGATAAACAGGACACCCGCCAGACACTGACAGGTCTCCCACGTTTCTCTGTTTCTATTCTCAGCTGACAGGCTGCCCCCATGTGGCAACAGCGTTAACCACAAGGTCACACCTTGTGGTCACAGCCTGCTGGGCGCTAAGCAGGGACCAGAACCCCAAAGACAGCTGCCTTCCAGCGTTGGAATCCTGCTCTTCCCAGTGAGTTGTTTTGGTCAGATTTTTAATGGTGGGAGTCTACATTATTTCAAATTTTACTCACAGACATTTTTATATGGTTCAATTTCCAATTCAAATTCAAATAATACAATCCACATAAGATGCAACCAAACCGTGAGCTTTGTGCCGGACCAGGCCCAGCTGCAGGGCAGACCGGCCTGGCCCTGCCCTTGGGGAGCTGACCAGGGGCTGAGGCTGTCTCAACACCAGGAGACAGTGCTGTGACAGGAAGGAACAGGCGCCGCGGGAGCACGAGGGCCAGCGAGCCCTGACTGTTCAAGGAAGCCAGTGTTTGGGGAAGACTTTCCGGGGGCGGTGACAGTAAATGGTAACCAGGAGGGGTGGTTAAGAGTGGCCAGGAGACAAGGCAGAGGATGGCACGTGGAAAGGCCGAGGAGCAAGCCGGAGCCTGTGACGCCCTGGGAAGGTTGAGCCGAGCCGGGGCAGGTGCAGCCTGCCCGCCGTGGGGAAGCAACATGGCCGGGGGCCGGATGCCCAAGGGCCTCGAAGGCCACTAAGGAGTCCAGAGACACGGCAGAGTTGCTCCGTGCCACTGAGAAGGGACACTGGGGTGCACACAGGGCTGGGAGACGGGCTAACTGTGATGTTCACGGAAAGCTGGCCCTCCTTTCTCTGGGGGAGCGGAAAGGAGGTCTAGTTGACGGAGGTCAGGAAAGTGAAGTTTTTCTTTTCTCCTCCACTTGGTTTCTTTTTGTTAAGTCTCAAGAGTTGAAATCGCGAAAGTTGCGTGAGCCTCTGATTCCACTGCATTGTGAGACCAACACTCCCGCCTCTGAAGGATGGACAAAGCTGAGGCCACTCCAGCCAATGCCGGTGCCACCATTCAGACAGCGGCCACCATGTCTGGGGCCCCGTGACTGCCTGGGAGGCCCTGGGACACCTCGAGGGGCCCAGTGGGAAGGAAGGGGGGGCAGTGGCTCCTTCCCCACTAGGTTCTTGTGCAGGGACTGAGGCCTGGCTTACCTCCACCACAGGCCTGGATGAAAAAGAGCTTGGGCTTCCCTCTCAAGCTGGGGCAGCCGGCTCCATTGAAGATGTTCACGATTTTCTCGATGGACACAGGACTGCCATCTACACCATAAACGGCCCCAGGGAACTGGAGGTGGCTGGCCTAGAAGACCGAGAATCCTGGTCACGAAACCAAGAAGTCGGGTAGGAATCCAACAAACCACTCAGAGGCTCTGGGGGACAAGGGGGGAACTGGGGGGCAAGCAGTTAGAAGGTCACAGCCTGGGGCCCAAGGCTGCTTTAGACAGAGCAGGTTGGTTCTGGATGGGCCCTGGTCAGCTGCCGTTCCCAGGGTATAAACCCACGTGCCTATAGGGGCTGAGAGCCTAACTGGAAAGTGTCGACCAGCTCCTTCTAAATCTCTAAGTGTGGCCCCCAGGCCAGCAGCATTAGTATCACTGGGGACTTAAAAGACACCCAAATTCCTGGGCCCCACCCAGACCTTCTAAGTCAGAAACCCTGAGAGAGGAGAAGGGCGATGGGGTCCTTCAGGTGCCTCTGATGCAGCTGAACGTTGAGAACCGCCGCTCCGGAGCAATTCTTCCCAAACCTTATGTGCACGGGGACCAGCTAGAGTGCAGGTTCTGAATGAGGGCGGGGGCGGAGGGGGGAGGGGCCAGGAGTCCGCATGTCACCCGCTGCCAGGTGATGCTGCTCCAGGGGCCACTCCATGAAGGAAACCACCCAAGGGCAGCCCCTGCCCAGCTACTGGCCACACAGCGTGCTTTGGAAGGAGGCTGGCCCGGTAAGGCTAGACCTTTGTGGTTTTTCAAGAAATGCTAGAAATCCTATTTGGGTGTGAAAGCTACCAGATTTGAAAACACTATAGTTCCCCCCCTCCAGGGAACTACAGACCCCCAGCTTGTAACCTCTGACCTTCCCAACCCTCAACTTAAAAGATAAGGAAACTGGGGCTCAGGAAGGGGTACAGCCTTGGGCACAATGACGTAGCACATTACTGGCCAAGCCCAGAGTCCAGTGTCCTAGACTCCCAGCCAGCAGCAAAGGGCCCAGAACCGTGCCCAGCAGGACCGGGGCGGCAGAAGCTGGGAGCTCTTACCCGCTGCGCCGGCTCTGAACAAAATCCAGGGGAGGTGCTTTGTGAGCGGAGCCTGCCTCCTCCCTGCCTCTCCCAGGTGCCTTCCCCCAGGGACACCACCCCACCCAAGTGGAGAATCCAACTCCTCAGAGGGCCGGATGGCTCCCAAGAAAACAGTGGGGGGTGGACAGGGCCCCCTGGCTCTTCCCACAAAGCTATGGGTGTCCTGGGCACAGGAGGGAACAGGGTTGTCAGACAGCCTTTCCCAGGTGCCTGCTCGGGGAACTGAGGCCTCCCACCTGACAGCCATGAGAGAGGATGACCACCACGCAGCAGTCCAGGGCACCGTGGTCCCGCCGTGACAGCGCCACCAAAGCCTGGACCATTTGCTGCAAAGAGAAGGGTGCAGTGAGCCAGAATAGACGGATCAGGTCCCCATCCTGGGCCTACCTGTGCACCGGGGTGGAGCAGCGCCCCTGCTCCCAGTGCCAGTATTGAAGTAGTGACGGTCACAACAGCCACAATTCTCGGGGAAAAGCTGCTGTGCTCGGGCACTGAACCCTCACAGCGACCCTGGGAGTGAGTCCTGTCCTTGCTGTCCAGACAATGAAACGGAGGCTCAGGGGTCACCCCGCAGGTACCAGGGGAGCCAGACCTCCACCCAGGGCTCCCTGAGTCTGAAGCTTAAACTCGTAACTACGGAGAAACACCACCTCTCATGGTCCCACAGACCCACGGGCTAGTCCTGGGGAGTCAGCTGCTTTCAGGGTCCCTGTCTCTCTGCTCAGACAGTGACCGTACCTTGGCAGTCAGGTCACACTTCACCTCCACCTCGAAGTGCAGCAAGTGGAAGCGTCTCCGCAACTTCTTGCAGTCAACATTGGAGCCGGAGCGGGTGCTGAGCCCCGACTTCAGGGAGAAGTTCACGTTGTTGAGGATGAGGCAGTGGCCACAGGGGTCTGCATCCAGGACGTAGGCCTGCCCAAGCACAGGGACCAAGGTGAAGTGCAGGCCACCCCCTGGCTTTCCCTCGCATGGCTGACAGTCTGGAGCGACGACACAGAAATGGGGTCTGCCCTCCCTCTGAAGGAAGGGCGGAGTCCACACCCAGGGCTGCAGGGCACAGGCCAGCAGCCTGCAGCCAGACTGCCGTGAGCACCGGCTGTGTGACGCGCAGAGGGTCAAGCTCGGGAAGGCAGACCAGCTCCCACCCAGCACCCAGGGGTGGGAGCTGCTGGCTTAGAGATCCAACACCCACTAACGTTCACCCCTAAAGGACCTTAGCGGCCGCCCAGTCCAGGGGAGCTCCTGAGAATCGTGTGGGCGACTCTGGGCAGACCCATGCCCAGGCCCACCCTCGGAGCACTGACACCACGTCCCCCCCAGGCTCAACGTGTCCCTTGTAATCGTCCCTGGCAGCAGCCTGTTCTTTTTGTTTATGATGTATTTACACTATTTATACTGAAGATGTGTATGTTCCTTTCTAGAACTAGCCTCGATGGCTTCACAAAGGCGAGAAACTTAAGTGGGCTGTCCCCAGGTGTCCCAGCACAGAGGCCGGGGCTGGCACACAGGAGACACACAGCCAATGCTGTGAATGAGAGCCAGTGACTCAGACTGGGACCAGGGGGCGGTGAGGCCACAGCCGATTCTGATGCCCACGCCTCATTAGGTGTCACCCCTGACTTCACAGGGTAGGAGAGAGCAGGGCTGGACAATCTGCTCCAGAAGGAGCTGTGCCCGAGTCAGGGAGCCAGAGGGGGCCCGGGACCAGGAGCCTCTCTCCAGCTGTGCTGGCTTCCCTGGCTTCCCGACATGGCTGCAGGAGAGGCCTGGGGAATGAGGAGCAGAAGATACCCAAAGCCAACGCAACGGGCCCCAAATCCTACAAAGGCTCACCAAATCAGCGTTTCCCCTTGATCTCTCCTGGGCACCTGGGGGTAGGGAGAGAGACAAAGAGGGAAAACGTGAATGGCAGAGTCCAACAGCAGAGGGGCAAGGGACCCCGTGAGGACAGCTCCCACAGACACGTAGGAGTGGAAACCTGGTGGCCCTCACACACCGCTGGTGGGAGAGAGTCACGCAGCACAGCCACCTTGGAGAACTATTGAGAAGCTTCTAATAATTAAATGCCCACCTGCCCTCCAATCAGCAACTCCATTCCAAGGTGGACGAACACCCAAGGGAAATGAATGCAATGGACACACAAAGACTTGGCCACCAGTGTCACTGAAGAGCCACCCATAACGCCTAAAACCAGAAACGATGCAAACGCCCATCAACAGGTCGACAGATGAATGAACCGTGATGCCGCCGGACAAAGGAGCACCACACAGCCTGCACGGGAACGAGCTGCCGACACACGCAACATCATGGATGATCTCGAAAACAGTATGCCGAGTTAAAAAAGCCGTCCAGTACCTATGGCGGGATTCCGTGTATGCACCATTCTAGAACAGAAGAGCGTAACGGAAGCTCCGGGAGAGTAGATGCCCTCACTCTGTGGACCCCAGAGACCCAGCACACAGTAGGTCCTCAGCAAGTATTTGTAGAATGAATAAATGAGTAAAACGGTCATTTATTCCTTCAATGTCAAGAGTTTTCATTTCCGTTAGCTAAAAGTCGACGAGCCACCAATCTATGAGGTTGGGGACAATTTTTCTTTTTAAGCGAAGAGAGCACAGTGGCTACCTCCGAGACACACTGGGGCCTAAACTCATGACCCCATGATGGTGACACTCATTGCTGACAGCACACCTGGACCTCTTGTTGGGAACTATTGTCTCACCAACTTAAAAGTCATGCCAGAAAAGCATCCCCATCCCACGTTTTTTAAAAAATGGTTTTCCCAGCCCTGGCTGGTGTAGCTCAGTGGATTGAGCGCGGGCCTGCGAACCAGAGTATCGCGGTTCAATTCCCAGTTAGGGCACATGCCTGGGTTGCAGGCCGGTTCCCAGCAGGGGACCCATGAGAGAGGCAACCATACATTGATATTTCTCTCCCTCTCTCCTTCCCTTCCCCTCTAAAGATAAATAAATAAAATCCTTAAAAAAAAAAAAAAAAGGTTTTCCCTAGCCTGAAGGCTTGTGTTGGTCCACAGACTTAATTCTGAAACTACTGCTCACTTCCAAAATTCCACTGCACCCCCAAAAGAGAACTACTACCCACCACTGAGGCATTTATTCCTTTATCAAATTTGCAACGACCCCCAAAGTGAGAGGGCAGCGTTATCCAAATGCAGAATAAGAATTTCCTACCACCCTCCCCCGCAAAGAACACCAAGATTGACATTCACCCACAGACAAGGGTGCCTTAGCGGAAGTTCAGAGTCCGCTGGAGAAGTTCCAGCAAGCTGCTAATGCAAAAAAAAAAAAAAAAATTCCAAGGTGGGATTCATTAAAGAAGCCAGCTGGTAAAGACTGGAGGAAGCCGTATTTCTTCAAACACAAAGACAGCAACACAAGACTTCAAGGAACATGAAAAATCAGGAAAACGTGACACCACTAAAGGAGCAAAGTAATTTTTCACTAACCGACCCCAGAGAAATGAAACTCTGAGATTTGCCCAGTGAAGAATTCATAATCGTTGTTTAAAGGAAGCTCAGTTAGCTACAAGGAAACACAGAAAGACAATTCAACAAAATCAGAAAAACGACACATAAACAAGATGAGAAGTTTAACAGCTAGAAATCATAAAAGAGAAAACAAACAAAATCTGGAACTGAAGAAAACAATGAATGAAATGAAAAAAAAAAAGCAACAGACAACGTCAACATCAGACTTGACCAAACAGAAGAAAGTATCTCTGAGGCAGAAGAGAAGCCATTTGAAATTATCCATTCAGAAAAGAATACATGCTTTTCAGAGGAGGGGCTGCCAAAATTAAATCTTCTGAAGGGCTACCAGAAGCCCACCCATACGCCACATGAGCTCTCAGAAAGACAACACCAAAAGCAGATTCTGAGTTTCAGCCGGCCAGGCTGTACCGATAGGCACACCCACCCCCCAGACACTCCCTCAGTACTCACGGCCGTCACCGAACCCTCCAGAAGGAACATCCACTGGCCTGGGCACGTCTGGTCTGAGCACCTCTGGTCTGAGCTTGGTGGGACAGAGCTCTCCCGGCCCCAGCACTACCGGAGTGAGTTTGCCTGGGGTCGGCTTCAGGGGGTCCTGCTTCACCACTCTCAGCTCCTCTGGTCTGAGGCCCACCGGTCCGACCACCGCAGGCAAGAGGTCCCGGGGTCTGACAGCCTCGGGATCCCGCTCTGCTGCTTGGCTACTTGTTTGCAGCAAGGAAGCCAGGCCGTGCTGGCCTGTGTCCTCTAAGCAGGAGATGAACAAAGGAAGGGCCTGACTCCCTCGAGTCTCCAGATCTGTGATCAGCTGCCTGGCCTGATCGCGCCGAGACCCGGAGCCTGCCCTCTGTTTAGAAAGAAGGACATGACACCGTTACTTACACACTTTCCTGTGACTCTCATCTTGTCCCCTATGTCCCCGATAGTATAAATCTAAACAATCAGCAAGTGAGCGAAAATTGGTCCTGCCTTTACTTATCTATCCATTCAGTATTTTGGAAGCGTCTACTATGTGCAAAAGTGCTAAACATACAGCAGCAAACAATCTCAGTCCTTAAGCAGCAAACATCACGTGGGGAGTGGAAGCAGACAAATCACCAATGACACGGCAAGGACAGATGTGCCACAGGAAAAGAACACGGGACCAGGGGCACACAACTCTGTCCTGGGCAGTAAAGGAGGCTTCCAGCAGGGTCTTAGCTGAGGCACGAGGGAAGATTAAGACGTGAACAGCAAAACGTGAAGATGAACGCAGAGGCTGCAGTGATGTGGCCACAGGCCAAGGAGTGCTGGCAGCCTCTAGAAGCTGCAACAGGTAAGGAATGGATTCTCCCCTGAGCCTCCAGAAGGAAGTAGCCCTGCTGACACCATGATTTTAACCCCTTAGGACTCACTTTCAACTTGTGACCTCCAGAAATGTAAGAGAATAAAGGTGTGTTGTATTTTAAAAAAGAAGAAGTGAACAGTGAATTTAGAGAAATGGGAAATGTGAGTCGGGGTGGGAAATAGTAGCGAGGAGAGAGGCATTCGTGTGGTCATGCCAAGAAAGCTGTGAGAGGCCACTGAAGTTTGAAGAAGAGGGTGGCACAGTCAGATCTGCCATTTAGAAAAATCATCCTGGGGGGTGGGCAGACCACGAAGGGAGTGGGCCACAGCCAGGTCAGTTGGTGGCAAAGACAGTGCAGCTGGAAGACAGAGGAGTCAGCGGGCAGACCAGAGAAATAAGGAGAATCAGCAGAACCTGGCCATTGATTGGGTGGACTGTGCAGATGGAGAAATGGTCAAGGTTGGCAGGTGTGGGGACAGTGAGGCCAGGCACTGGGATAAGGAGCTTGGTGGGAGCGAGAAGAAGATACTGGTCATCTGCTTGCTGGTTGTCCTTCGAGACCCAGCACTATGAAAGTTCCTCAGGGTGGAATAAGATGCCACCCTGTCCTCAAATGTTCTACAGCAGCCCCATCCAAGAGAACTTTCCAAGACAATGGAAATGTCCTTTATGTGACCTGTCCAATATGGCCACTATCAGCCACTCGCGGCTACTGTGCACTTGGGTCCTACGACTAGAAAACTGAATTTTTTATTTTGCTTAATTTTAATTGCTTCGGATTTACAGTTACATAGGGACATGTGGCTAATGGCTGCTATACTGAACAGCAGAGACACGGTGTCACAGTAAAGATAATTTTTAGTAACAAAATTTGCTTACTTCTGCAAGTAGAGGGTGATACTGTAATTTCCCTCAAGACTTACTGAACACTCACAATAAGATAGGCACTTGTTAAGTGCATCTTTCCCTTAGGCCCCCTCAACAACCTTAAATTACAATTACCCCCACTTTACAGAAGAGGGAAAGTAAGTCACCAAAAGGTGCTGCAACTTGCTAACATATCACAAAGCCAGGATGAGGGCCCACACCCACGTGGCCCCAGCCAGCCCAGGTGCAGGGAAATGGCACCCACTGTTCACGCTGCATTCTTTAAAAAGTCTGAGCTTGTGCGAACACTTAAAATCAGGTAATTAGACATCAAAACCAAGATTCCCAGATTCTCTTTAACAACATGAAATATCTGGCAGTACCAGACCAGCATTCTGGCTCTACCACACCCAGCCGGAGGGCAGGACAGAGGCTGCCCACTGTAGTGCCCACGCACGGGGCCTCCACGGGCATTCCAGTTGGTGACCCCTGTGAATGCACCTAAAAGCAAGGATGTGGCCTCAAACCATCTCCATTCCTCAGTACGGGCCACACAGCAGGTGCTCCTAAGACTTCTTTTAACTGTTATTCATTGGTAATTTTCCAAATGACACTCGTTCTATTAAAGACTTCCCGCTGGGTCAGGCCCAGCTTCTGGGTGAGGCAGAAACTGGACACTCGGCCTGCAAGCCACCCAACAGGGCGCTGGCCAGGGGCCTCCGAGAAGCCATGCACGCCCACTGCACATCCCTCCTGTACCCATCTTACCTCACAGGCCTGTGGCAAGGGTCAAATAAGACCAAGACACGAAAGTGCTTTTAAAGAGAATTGCGAATGTTTAACTCTGTTCTTCCCTCCATTACCTGCATAAGGCAGTTCATCTCCAAAAACCCTTACACAACATAAGCGTAATACATGAGGGGCTGGCCAAGGAGCAGGGCACAGCCAACTACCACTCAGGAGCCCTTACTCTGAGTCTGACACTACTGTTTCGTATCCTGTATCTCAGCCCTGAGGACAATATGACTGTTGCCCCCATTTCACAGCCCAGGAAACTGGCTCAAAGAGGGTGTGGATTGCCCAAGGACAGGGTGCCAGGCAGTCTGCCACCCAAGTGGGTGCTGTGGACCTTCATGCTAGAGGGGCTAAAAGCAAACATACCTCGTTGCTGGCAAAGGCACAGAGCTGCAGCAGCTCACAGGGCCCGCTGATGGTGCAAGGTGCCGAATCGCTTTGCAAGCCTCTGTCTGGGACTGCTTGGTTTGGCTGGGCAATTTAAGGGGCTCGCCACCGTGAGGAAAAACCGGGTTCCCACAACAATGGTTCCCTAAAGGTGGGGGGTACTAGTTGGCACAGACTGGGGAGCTCGGTCATTAAGTTACTTTGTGGCTCCAGTAACCCTCTCCGCGCGGCCTCGCTGTCCCCAACTGTGAGAGAAGTCTGCGCACGAGAAGAGAAGCGGGGCGTAGGCTGGGAGGGGGCGGGGGCGCACCTGGATGTCCTCGATCATGTCTGGCGTAAAGAGCTCGCGGTTCAGCAGAGCGTCCCAGAGATCGGCCACCTGCAGCTTGCCAACGAGCTGCACCCGGCATCGCCGAAGGAGCTGTCGGTCAGCCTCGTCCATGTCCGGTAGATAGTGGGAACCCGAGCCGCCCCCGTCCACTTCCGGGCCTCGGCCAAAGCACCCCGCCAGCTCCCCAGGACCCGCCCTCGGGCGGGCCACAGCGTCCCACCCCGCCCACTATCTCCGTCGCCCCCAGGGTCCCGCCCCTAGGCCAGGCCACCTCCAGCTCATTGGGCTCAGCTACTGCGCGGTGTCCAGCCCCCAGGGCACACGCGTGCGTCAACGCCCCGCCCCAGTCACGCCCCGCCCCAAACACACCCCCGCGATCTTGCCGCTTTCCCCCGCCCAAAATTCAAGACCAAAGACCACTGGCTTTTACGGAGACCAGAGGAGGAGTCACACTGCCAGTAAGAGCCAACCAAGCCTTGAGCCACAGTCTGTCCCGCCCCATTCGCCTTGTAGCTCTCCTTGAGCCCCCTCTCCTGCCGTCATTAGAACCGTAAATCTGCCGTCCCCCGTGCCCTTCGTTCACTGTTCCAAACTTGGTCTCATCCAACCAATTCCACCTTACAAGGTATTTCATGACCCTTTCCCCTCCCTCCCACCCTAGCACCTCCCACCACAAAGGAAACGGCCGAAATCTAGTCTTGTGATCTCCCAGTTCGTACGGCTCATTTCCAGATCTGAAAAGTAACTGCTCCCATTTTCTGATCATTTACTAGGTCCTAGACATTATGCTAGCCATTTTACGTTCCATTACTTCGTTTATCCCTGAATACATTACTTCCAAAAAAGTACTTTCCCCTACTTTACATAGGCGGACGCTGGGTCTCAAGGAAGTGAAGTCACCGGTCACGGTCACAGAGGTAGTAAGTGGCAAGCGGACAAAATTTAAACTTGAACCTGACTCGAAGTCCTCACGCTTAACCGGGAGTCCATCTTAGAATGCATATTCTTGAGCAGCAAAATCTCAGCCCCATTCATCATTTATTCCACAGATATTTATTGCGATCCTGTTTGTGCCAAGGTCTGTGCTGGCTGGCATCGAGAATACAGAGTTGGACCAAAAAAAAAAAAAAGATAAAAGCCCTGCCAGTAGGAGCTTACTGGGGGAAGAGAAGGGGAAAAAAAAAGATGTAGTATGTTAGATAATGATAAATGCAAAGGAGAGACATGAAATCTCTGTGTGTCTCTAAAGAATCTGTTTCATTGGCCCAGCGAGAGTCGCTCCTTTTCCTGTGCTTCTCCCTCCCCCACCCCAACAACCACCACCAAATACACATCCCTTTCCGTGCTAAGGGTGGGGACTGGCATATTCTAGGCTGGAGTTTGCTTTTTGATAAATGGGTTTAGGAGTCCTGGGTTCCTGCTCCTCTCTGGGCTTCACTCTCCTCATCAGCATATGGAAAAGTTGGACTAGGAAGGATCCCCGAGGTCTCTTCAAACTCTAACGCTCTAGGATTCTATGAATAGGCTTAAAGAGAACCGGGACCAATGATTGCTTCCCCACCCTAGCAACTGTTGTTAGACCAGGGCCATCTCCCGGTAGGACTAGAAACTCCTCCCTGGATCGCGGAGGTCTTTTTGGCTTCCCATCCTGCACCGCGACTTAGCCTCGCTAGGTGGCACGTCTTGACCTCTTTGGTAACGATCATCCTTTTTTGATCCAGCCAAAGAGCGCGCCTCGTTCCCGTGGTAACCGCGTTAGGTCCACGCGCAGACGGTGTGTGGCAAGGGTCAAAACACATTCGCAAACTAGAAGCCCTCCACCTGTTCAACCCATGCTTTCGATGCGCCAGGCCTTTAAGTGTCACGTGACTCCCTTTAGGTTGTCCCCTCCTTCTTCCCCTCCCCAAGTCCAGGCGAACGCTGGTGTAGACTGGAGGCTCCCGGCCGGCGGACTAACTGGATCTCCGACGCTGCAGCCATTTAGGCCGGTGCCCTTTCCCGGTAACTCCTTCCCCGCGTGACGCGCGGAGCCACGGACGCGGCGTGGCCAGGCAGGCTAAGGAGCCTCTCTTCGTTTCTTTCCCGTTCCTGGTCCCTGCTGGGCCTGGGGGGAATCAGGAGCCGACCGGGCCGGGACCAGGGCTCTCGGAGGGCAGCAGAGGAGGCAGCTGCCTCCTGGAAGGTTGCGACCTCCGGCGGAAGCTGGAGGCGGTGCCCAGACTGAGAGCGTGTCTCTCGGAGCGGCTGCCTGGTTTAGGGGTATTACCCAAGGGCGGTAGCCTACCTGTTGGGCAGGTGGTTTCCTGCCCTGAGACCGGCATCGTCAAGCTTCTGTGAAGCTGCAAAAGAACTTCACAGCCCCCCACCCCGCCACTTGGGCCCTCTAACAGGAGGCGACTGACACAGTTGAATAAGACAGTGTTTGTACAGCACGATAGAAAAATAATTACAAGTATCATTTATTGACTCAATCCTGTGCCCAGTAAATACTTTACATGCACTTAACTCCCATGTTGACCTTTTCAAGGTGTGTTATTCACCCCCATTTTTTAAAATAAGGACACTGAGGCTTAACAAGTTTAAGTAATTTGCCCAAGATTATAAAGTGGTGGAGGGTGGATCTCAATCTTAGTCTGATTCCGGAGTTCGTGTGCTTAACCAGTAGCTACATCACCATCCGGATTTTTAGCGGGCTGTGCGTGTTTTGTAGGACAGGGTAGGTTATAGGTTGCCTGAACAAGGAAAAAACAGGTTTTAGATTTTTATTCAGCGTGCTTGCAGTCCTAAACGTTGGCTCTCGGGTGGGTCGATTTGGCGAGGACTCCCAGGCCGCATTTACACCACTGCGTGTCAGAATCCACTGCTGTTACACGGCTTTTGCCCACTCTCAAGTAAAATGTCACAGTAGACCCTTGAACCTTAAAATTGGAGTACTTTATGAGAAGTCAAGGTAAATACGGCCCTTGGAAAAACTTTGTATGGTATCACCAAGATCACAAGTCTTCTGTGCAGTAGAGCACCGTGTTGTTTATTAACCAGCCAGTATTATTAACAAAAGCCAGCGTGATTTCAGTCCCTACACTCAACTAGAGATGGAGCTTTAATATTTAAAGACTGTGTCTGGTCTACAGTCATTGTCACCAGTTCCCCTTCACGTGGAAAATTTAATGTTTTCTCACCACTTTTGCCCAAATGGAAGTGGGAAAGTTGAGCATTTCCTGAGGTCTGCGTTTATAATGACCCTATTTCTAATGATTGAATTAAAAAGCAGCTTCATTTTCTTGTTCTAATGGGCTCGGTGAGAAAGAATAGAATTGGAGCATATTAAATCCTAACTGCAGCTTTTTAAGCATATTTCACTTTTGTATTTTTACTTATTTAACTCCCAAGAATGTCACAACTGTCTCATTTTGTGGTTTGGGGCATGGTAAATTTTACAGTTTCATGAATTTGTTTAGCATATACTCAGTGAGGTATTCTGAAGCCTTGGGCTTTTAAGTTTACCCTATTACTGATTGTCAGGATAAGTGAAACAGTGTATTGCAGATGTAGCCACCCTGATTTTCCTGTTTGTCTTCTCACATTTGCTTCTTGTTTCTTCATCTCATTTATTTTCGGTCACTTCTAAAGCTTTTCTAACCCAAGGATTCTGGAGAGGTGCTGTTAATTCTTATTGCTCACCTTTTCATCTATAAGAGTTCTTATTTGTGAGATAAATAGTAACGAGATTATGTTTTAAAATATAGTCAAACAGCCTGACACTTTTTCTGCAAAATAGCTTCTGTTTGTTTTGTTCTTCCTGACCTACATCTTTACCTAAAGAGCAAGACTGTCCAGGTTTCTACCACTGAAACTTGCCTCTTCAATCATTTCAGCTCTGGAAAGGAAGAGAAATGGAAGTGAAAAAGTTGAGCATTTCCTGGCCATTCTTGATAGTTCTGGTTTTGATCCTGCAAATTCTGTCTGCGTTGGATTTTGACCCATACAGAGTCCTAGGGGTCAGTCGGACAGCCAGTCAGGCCGATGTTAAAAAGGCTTATAAGAAGCTCGCCCGGGAATGGTAGGTGAAACAAAGAAATAGTTTAATATAAGCTAAGCAGTTTCAGCAGGGAAATGAAGCTTCAGTTATGATTAGCTTTTATTTGTCTCTGTTTCTGTGTTCAATAAATATATAATATGTCTGTCTAAAACATTTATTTGGAAGAACTAATGTTCATGTTATTCTATAATTTTAGTGATGTAACTCAAAGCCTGTGTTACTGTGAAACCCCCTTAATTGCTGAGATACCATTAGCATGTTTAATGTTAAAGTAGGAGGAAACTTTAATTTTTTTAATATATATATACTTAGGAATGGATAAACTACCCTTCCCATGAGTTTATTCATAAAGTAACTCTTTATGAGCCTCATTGCTGAAGGAAACACTACCCAATCCTATTTTCTAGGTTAATTTTTAAGCTGTCAAAAAAAGACAGCTTAAAAATTAAGAATAAGAGCCTTATGAATTTAGAGTAAGAATAAGAGCTTTAGAATAAGAACTTTTTGCTCTCAATTTTAAAAGAATATTCAGGAATCGAGTATATTTGTAGAAAAATCAGAATTATACTTGTAGCTATTATATATGCTAGAGAATATACGAGTGTTTATGACTTAGCAGGATGGCAATAAACTTAACACTTATTTTGGACAGACAGCATCAGTTTCTTGCACTAATGCTATGGAGTGGCCAAAGTTGAAGGGTTGTACTATGTAGCTGGAGGGGAGCAGAGGGAGGAGGGATGGAGAGAGAGGACCCAGGCGACTACTAGCTGGGTGAACCAAGCTTGAGAACAGAAAGAAGGTTTGGGGTGGGAGCATCACCAAGCACCTGCCTGCTAGGGGCCAGATTCTGGTGTGTGTGTGTGTGTGTGTGTGTGTGTGTGTGTGTGTGTGTTTAATCTCATTTAAACCTTATAATTGCACTGTGAGGGAAGGCATTGCTGTCCCGGCTTTATACATTTGTATTACCTGTGGCTTCCATAGTTTGACCTTCTGCACCAACAGCTAGTTTATCGCTTTCTTGTTTTTGGATCATTTGCCCATCTGGGCAGAAGTAGGGGCAGGTGGGTTGGCATTTTGGGCAGGAAGTTGGACAGGACAAAATTGCCTCAGGCAGATGACCATGCAGGGTGCGCGTGACTGCCTGACACTATTATTCTTCAGTAGAACGTGTACCCTAGTTTTAAACTGGTTGCAATACAGGTAAAAGATACTTTTAAAATATAATGTTTTGAATAGATATTTTAGATCAGCACTTCCCAGCCGTTTTGGCACCAGGGCTGCTTTCACAGAAGACAGTTTTTCTACAGACCAGTGGGGTGAGGGATGGTTTCGGAATGATTCAAGGCGTTTACATTCGAGCTCATCTCCTGCTGTTCCGCCCGGTTCCTTACAGGCCCAGACTGGTACCAGTCTTTGGGCTAGAGGTCGGGGACCCCCGTGTTACACCATATTCACATCATGAAGGATCCGGAATTAGTTACAAAAAAACGCAGTCTCTATGTGTGGCCTCTTTCCAGGGACTCTATACAGCAAAGTTGCTTTCTGCATCATTTCAGACTCTTGCCTCTTCATGTTTAAAGCAAGATTTATAAATCTGCAATGAACTTCTACGGTAGTGACATTCTTTTGGACAGGATACTGCCTTTGACAACATTTTAAAACCAGAAGTGGCAGCTTCAGTGTGTAGGACCTACTGAAATGTACAGCTTTGCCTTTGCTGTCTCCCAGAGCCAAAAAGGATGTTATATTAATTAAACGAGCCATATGCTTCTCTTCCTTAATTAGAGTCTCTCTAGGAGTAATTCATCAGCGTGTGTAGAGTATCATCTAGTGAAAGGCTACAGTTTTACTTTACCTTTGTATTTTCGCTGTACTATTATTTTCTGCTGCTTGGGCAGGGCAGTGTTGTTTATCACTGAAATTGTTTCCTTTTTGTAATGGTTTCATATGCACTGAAAATAGTAGTGTGTCCCAGTTTGACTTTTCAAAATGAACTGAAGCAGGGGGAAGTAGGTAATTGTCAAATTGGATTTGTAGCTTTCCTCTAACATGTTTTACTACATAATAGCTTTGCTTATACTTCCCAGGAGCTTGCCCCTTGCTTGGTACAACCACTTAAAATTACTTTTTCTCTCAGGAACACTGTTTGTCTCCCATAATTAAGTTATTTCATACATACTTTTCTTTTGTCATCTACATTGACAAAATAAACACCTTCCACCACTCCAAGAAGAAGGTGTCATATAATGTAATTTGGAGTGCTCGCTTCGGCAGCACATATACAAAAATTGGAACGATACAGAGAAGATTAGCATGGCCCCTGCGCAAGGATAATGTAATTTGGAGCAAATGGGTATAACATATACATGGCTAGTACTTCACTACATTACTTTTTAATATTTATTATCACTACCTTCTGTATTTTTTAATTATAGTTGGCATTCAAACTATGTTACTTTTTTAATTTTATTTATTGATTTTAGAGGAAGGGAGGGAGAAAGAGAAATATTAATTTGTTGTTCTGTTTATTTACACATTCATTGGTTGCTTCTTGTATGTGCCCTGACCGGGGGGAATCAGACCCGCAACCTTGGCATATCAGCACAATGTTCTAAACAACTGACCTAACCAGCCAGGGCCTGGGTTACACTTTCAGCCTCTCTTTGTATTCCCTTAGAGAGGTAAGTAGGCCACCAGTAGATGTGTATGTACTGCAGTTAGTAACATGTTTCACATACACAGAAAATAGCATTGGACAGTGCTTTCCTAGAGCTGAAGTTACCCTTCTCTGTTTTCAACTTTGTATTGTTTTCCTGTGATTAGAAAAATATCTGTTATAAGCGGAAACTGCCCTGTGGTTCCCCCCCAATTCCGGGCCTTGGTTTCCTTTGTTGCAGGGTCTGTGGTTCTAACCCAGCTGCCCTCACAACTCGCTCTTTAAAAGGTTCAGTCTCTTTAAAAGTCCCTTCCTACCCTTCCCCCTACAAAGTTCTGTGTGTTAAACCTTCATTTGTGTGATCGTATCATTTTTATCTTTTAAAGGCTTAGCCTACATTTGAATATTTAAAGCACTTTTTTTGTCATCCAAAAAACATGCTTTGAAACCACCATCTTGGTCCCTTAAGTCACACTTTTCATTACACCTGGTGGGGTTTTTCCCCCACTAATGTTCATAACAAGGATTAAATTTTTTTTATTTAGTTATTTTTCAAATACAGTGTTCTGTTTATTTCTCCCTGTAACAAGGATTAAATATTAAGGCGGGATGTCTACATTCAGCAGTGAGCCATTTGAAGTTCCCTTATTTCTACAGAAATTAGAATATATGGTGTAATTCATTCACATATGTTCCTAGTAGAATATGTTGGCAAAGTTGTAAATGTTTTTTATTTTGATGTACTTGGTGCTGTTCTTAGTGGTCTTTTGCTTCCCAGTGGATATTCTGTTTCCAGAACCTTTGCTGCAGGAAATTTCCTGGAAGCAAGCAGCAGTAATTGCGTGAAGAATAAGGTCTGTAGTAGAGTCTCAGTGAAGTGAGCACTGAAAAATCAAATGCCGGTCTAGATCTTAGGGGGTTCTAAGGACACAAAACCCAGCCCCTGCTTTCCAGGACTTTATAAAATCCGGTAGTGAACTGTGTGGGCAAGGATGTTAATTGACCATGTGCAAAACACGAAATCTATTCTCACTTCTGCCCTTTTGCGTTTCAGGCATCCTGACAAAAACAAAGATCCCGGAGCAGAAGACAAGTTCATTCAAATTAGCAAGGCTTACGAGGTATTGTGTCGGGCTTTGGGATACATTCATTAGCTCCTATAGAATGTGTCTGAGTGTTTTGTAAAATCCTCTCGGGCAGGGCACGTTCCCTGTGCCCGTGACCCAGCTTCTAGGTGATGGTGGAGACCGTATTTGGTCCTATCACGTATGTCAAAACTAGTGCCTGAGTACTTCAGCTCTTTAAAAGAATGGCCTATTTAAAGGCTTTAATTAGAATTGTAGAATTACCCTGAAGGTACGTCTTTACTTCCTTTTTAGAAATTTATATTACATGCTCACTTCGGCAGCACATATACTAGAAATGTAAAACTAACTACAGACCACTTTGCCTACAGTTATTAACATGACACAGGGTTGCCAATATGGGGTCAGCCAAAAAGTTCACTTAGTTTTTTCCATAAAAGAAAGCATGCATTTTTAATTTTCAACAATAACTTTATTGATTTGGACATTTTGAGTACGTTGGATATGTCCTCCTACCCACTTGGCATCTAGTGGGTAGAGGCCAGGGGTGCGGCTGTACATCGTCCAGTGTATAAGACAGCCCACAGCAAAAATGTCAGTAGTACCGAGAAACCTCACAAAACCGCTTTTGACAGATTTGATCAGTCACAGCTCCTTCTCCATCCACTGCATAGACCTTTTCTTTTTTTTTTTGCTTTTCAGTTGTGTTTTTACCTTTCTTGAAATAATAAAGCATAATATGCCAAAAATGTTGCGTATTTTCTTCCATCTTCAGTATTAAAATGGCTACACAACAACTCACCGGTTTTGATTAAGTTTTTTTAAATGCACGCTGATAGGACAGCTGTCACAATACAGTCCAACCAAATTGTTTCTAATGAAGTGAAAGACACTAAGCACTACCGGAGCTGTCATACAGGAAAAACAAAGGAACTTTTTGGCCACCCATATTTAACACGAGATTTTCAGTGGTTTCCTAACACGTCAGCGTGAGTGGTTCCGTCTGGAAGACACAAAAGTCAAGTCCTCGGCTTCCTGTGTTGCGCAGGGTGATGTTCTTCAGTGGGCGGTGCTCGGCTCGTGGAACAGCACGTCATCCTGACACAGCTGCTCGCGTTTTGAACTTCAAAGTTCTTTCTTTTTTTAAAGATTTTATTTATTTTTAGAGAGAGGGGAGAGGAAGGAGAAAGGGAGTGAAAAATCAGTGTGTGCTTTCCTTTCACACACCCCCCCCCCACTGGGGACCTGGCCTGCACCCCAGCATGTGCCCTGCCTGGCAGTCGAGCTGATGACCCTTTGGTTCGCAGCCTGTACTCAGTCCACTGAGCCACACCAGCCAGGGCCAAAGGTATTTCTAAGTAAAACAAAGTGAGCCAACGTACAAGACACTGAACGCAATTCTGTGGTCTTTTTGGTGTGCATAGCTTTTCATATTTTGGTTTGAAACGTTCCAACATAAATGATGTGACCCAGTAAGTGTTCTTGTGTGCAAGCCCTGATGTTAGGTTTCAATTGTTTTACTGGTGTGATTAGTGTTATGATAGCTTAAAATCCTTAAATCCAACCTGAGCGTGAGTATTTAAGTGACTGAAGTAACTTGGTCTTGAAATGCTTAATGATTCTGTCTGATACGTTAATTAGAATATCTCATTATGTCATAGCTGTACATTTATCTTTTTTCTGTATCTTCTAAGCTGCTTACAGAAAAGTTCTTTGGGTAAACGTTTATTTGTCCTATAGATTTCTGTTTTTTCTTTCTTTGTAGATTCTTTCCAATGAAGAAAAAAGGTCAAATTACGATCACTACGGAGATGCCGGAGAGAGCCAGGGCTACCAGAAGCACCAGCAGCGAGAGTATCGCTTCCGCCATTTCCATGAAAATTTTTATTTTGATGAGTCTTTTTTTCACTTCCCCTTTAATTCTGAGCGGCGGGACTCTATCGATGAGAAATACTTGTTGCACTTTTCACATTATGTGAACGAAGTGGTTCCAGACAGCTTCAGGAAACCATACCTCATCAAGATCACCTCGGATTGGTGCTTTAGCTGTATCCACATCGAGCCTGTTTGGAAAGAAGTAGTTCAGGAACTGGAAGGATTGGGTAAGATCGTTTGATTCACTGGAAGAGGTTTAAATGGGAGAAGGGAACTTTGAAATGTTGAATGTTATGGGATGTTGGGGAGAAGGAACAGTGTGATTTCTCTTCACAAGTGCATGGTGACTGGTGTTTCCCAGGACACATTTTCAGAGAGGGGAAATGTATCAGCCACTTTCATTTTGCATTTTCATTTCATAATGTGAAGCTTTATCTCTGCGGTCTCCTAACATCTAGTTGGGGCCTAATATGTAGGAGAAGCTTAAAATGATTGGCGAACAAAGCAGCCCTCCAGCTGGTAGTAGTTTCAAATTATTCACATGGTATTTGTGCTGCACTCCGTGTATTCATTTGCTAGGGCTGTCATAACAAAGCACACATAAACAGCAGAAATTTGTTTTCTCACCATTCTCGAGATCAAGTCCAAGATCAAGGCGGCAGCAGGGTTCTGTCCTTGGCTTGCAGATGATTGCCTTCTCCCTGTGGTTTGCATGGTTGTCTCTCTATGTGTACGTGTGTTCGGTGTCTCTCTTTCTGTGTCCTAAACTCTTCTTATGAGGACACCAGTCACACTGGATTAAGGCCACCATGGTAACTTACATACTTCTTTAAGGCCCTATTTTCAACTGCAGTCACATTCTGAAGCACAGGGCAGGGCGGACACAAGTCAGCCCACAACATAATGACTGTGAGTTCCCATTCTAAATTGCAGATTAGCCTTTCCTTTGTTTAGTTTCCACTTAGTGCCTGGAAGACTTTAGTGATTCAGGGAGGATATTTATTTTAATGATTCCTTAAAGTTGGAACTACTGAACTAAATGTGTGTGTGCATGTGTGTGCTTATGTTTGTGTTGCAGGCATTAACAGACCCCCTTTTGAATAACTAAAAAAGGACAAACTCATAGGGGCTGAGAAGCCTGTATTTCTCTGGAGAGAGCATACCACTGACAGCCACTGGTTCATTTGTTCTAAAACCGGAATTTTCAATCTGTTGTTCAGAAGCACTCAGCTGCTCAGATTTATCAAAATACTTTCCTCAGATTGAGCATTAAGTGAGAAATTTTTTACTAAGTGCCTGATATAAAGCACTTAATGAACAAACCTTAGAAAATTTCTGATTACTAGATTTCCTGGTTTCACAGGAAAATTGTTTTTTAAACATTTTTAAAAATATTTTATTTATTTATCTTTAGAGGAGAAGGGAAGGAGAGAGGGAGAGGAATATCAATGTATGGTTGCCTCTCGTGCATCCCCTGCTGGAAACTGGCCTGCAACCCAGGCATGTGCCCTGACTGGGAATCGAACCGTGATTGTCTGGTTCGCAGGCCTGCACTCTCACAGGAAAATTTTTGAAAGTGCCTATTCTATAAACGCCTTTAAAAATTTTTTTTCTTAAATGTATTAGTCTACTTTCTTCAACTCATCGAAGATCAAAGCCCAGCTGTTTACTTATTAGCTAAGTCTTGAAAGGTGCCTAGAGGTCGGCCAGGCAGGAAGGGTGAGGAGCACACAGGCAGAGGGAACAGTGCAGAGAAACAAAGAGCGTTCTCGGAAGAGCCCCAGCAGCAGGTGAGAAAAGAGGAAGCAGGAAGAGCCGGGAGCCAGCGGGTACGGAGCCTTAAATCCAGTCTGAGGAAGCTGGACTCTACTTTGTAGTAAGGAATAAAGCCAAGAAAAGTTTTTGCATAGAGGAGTGACCTAATGAGATCTACGCTATAGAAAGCTAACTCCTAAAGCGACGTGGAGGACAGATGATAGAAGGGCAGCTTAGGGGCGAGGAGGTCACCAACCCTGGCAAGACAGCAACCACTGGCCTGAACTAGGGCAGTAGGAATAGAGAGAGGCGGGCAAGTGTCCGATCCTCCCTCCTGGAAGGTCAGAATTTCAGTTTCACACCAAAAAATTACCTACTGGCATTTCTTCAGCTGCGGAGAGACATAAAAGGGCTTCATGTGAGTCTCCCATCCTTTGCAGGCGTGGGGATTGGCGTGGTGCATGCTGGGTACGAGAGGCGCCTGGCCCACCACCTTGGAGCACACAGCACACCCTCCATCCTCGGAATCATCAACGGGAAAGTCTCCTTCTTCCACAATGCGGTTGTCCGAGAGAACCTGCGACACTTCGTGGAGAGTCTTCTTCCGGGGAACTTGGTGGAGAAAGTGAGTACCTGGCCGAGAAATGGTGGGCAAGGCTCCTGGTGCTACCGAGGGCCCCGGAACTCTACCTGTGGTCCTTTTGAGCAGGGCGGGATACGTATCAATGAAGTAATCACTCAGACGAAGTCTCAGTGAAGTCTGTCAGAGACTGAAAGTGGAGCAGGCGGAGAGACTCCAGGGGTTCCTCCCTGTCGATCATCCCTGCGCGGATTTCTTCTGTCGTAGGAATCTGAGCCTCCAACCACAGGGACTCTTACTTTCTAAGCTAAAAACTGGAGCACGGCGTAAGATAAAGGGTTTCTTTCCGACTCCTGACCTTGTTCACTTGAAGATACTTTTCTTATGAGAATATTGAAATTAAGCAATATTCAATTCTGGGCTTAATGATCATATCTATAGAAAACACCAAATCTCGTGAAAACAGATCTTATTTTTGGAACGTTCACAACGTATAGTGAATGATGCAACAGTGGTTACATTTCACAAACAAAAGGTTGAGCTAAAGAAGCCAGGCATAAAAAGTTCATACTAGCTTATGGTTTTTATACATAAGAAGCATTTTTGATGTGGCTCAGTGGATTGAGTGCCAGCCTGTGAACCGAAGGGTCACTGGTTCAGTTCCCAGCCAGGGCACAGGCCTGGGTTGCAGGCCAGGTCCCCAGTTGGGGGAGTGCAAGAAGCAACCAGTCTATGTTTCTCTCACACATCAGTGTTGCTCCCCCTCTCCTCTTTCCTTCCCTTCTCTCTAAAAATAAATAAATCTTTAAAAAAAAGAAAGGGAAGAAGCATTTCCCCCCGCCCAGTCTCTTAAGTTAGGGATCAAAAGACCTAAGACAGGATCCTTGTTTTGCTTTAAATGATCCCTTCCTTCAACAACACCAGGAAAAGGGAACGTCCAGACGTTTCCGTCATATTTCCACCTGCACTGTTCATAGACTGTCCTGCCAGGGTCGTTGTCCCCAGAAGAAGTATTTGTTGGAGTTAGCTTGAAAGGAAATGGCCTCCTAAAACCCCGACAGGTTGTCCTGGTAGGTCCTCAGACCTTTATATAATATCTGTTCTGTGCCTGGCACTACGGTGAGCGTTGAGGACAGTTTTCACGAGCTCACGGTCTAGCGGCTGGTTACTTCCATCTGGTATGTTAAGAGCCCATCCCAGAGAGTTGGGAAAGGCTTCCTGGGAGAAATGACCCCTGTACTGAGTTTACCAGGTGAGGAGAGAGGAGGAGGGAATGAGCTCCAGGCAGGCAGAGGTCTGGGGCGGGAGCAGCCTGCTCTGTATGCAGTAATCATTAGTGAGGGGGAAGAGGACGAGATTAGACCATTAATAGGAATCTTGCCATGAAGGCCTTAGAGGGCCTCTTGCCCCTTTAAGGAACTTGGGCCTTGGCCTGCAGGTGACAGAGCCATGAGCAACAGAGAGAACTAACTGATCAGGTTGAGGTTTTACCTACTTCATTCTGGAAGCAAATTGGAAAGATACTTTTTTGAACTCTTTCAAATTTTCTAGATAGAAATTTAATTATACATGCTTTAAATTTGTTCTTTCAGTAGAATTATTTTAAGGCATGCACTGGGAAATGCAAAAGTAGCAATGCAGACGGCAAATGAAATTATGTAATGTATAGGTGAGGTGGGCCCACTTATTTTCATTTAAGCTGTTTTAAAAGAGCAATTGTTGCATTAGCTTCTGTATGAGATTAAAGTTAGTAGATTAAGGTTAACAGATTTCAAAGGACAGTCTGTAAGCAAGAACCAGCTGTGAAACCTTAATTTTTAAAAATAATACGGCCAGTAATTATTTTAGACAAGATTAGGATTTCAGTCTGTAAGAGTTGAAACACATGGAAATACGAAATTAACAATTCCTGTTCTTTTAAAAAGTTTTAGTCAAATGAAGACAAAAAGACTTGTTTGCATTTTTTAGTTTTTACAAAATAATATTTCACACATATTTGATTTTATTTAAATATCTCCTGACTAGATTATAATGCAACTGTTGAAAATTAAATACTGAAACTAACATCCTCTTTTCAATTGAAGGTTACAAATAAAAATTACGTCCGGTTTCTCTCTGGCTGGCAGCAGGACAATAAACCGCACGTCCTTCTGTTTGACCAAACGCCCATCGAGCCACTGCTGTACAAGGTACTTCCCCTGCTGGGGCAGCCTGTCCCCTGTCACGGCGCGGAGAACTTGCAGCCCGAGTGTCCTCTCTGTGGGTGAAAGCCCATCCCTGAGAAGTGTCCGCAGGCCACTCCCTTAAACATCGCACGTGGGTGGAGCACTGTGCTGCTGCTGTGCTGCACGTTCCGTGCACGTAACAGCACTGACTCCTCGGAAGAGGCCGGTGACATGGGCATCGTCCTAAGATACTGAAGCACAGGGGGCGGGTTGTGCGGCCAGCCCACGGTCTCCCTCCAGTGTGGGGAACATTGATTCCCTGGAAGCCTGTCTGACTCCAAACCTGCCCTCCGAACCATACCCTACTCTACATGTCCAGCACACCTCTGCTCATCAGTGTGACTGACGTGAGACGGTCACTGCACCTTAGGTAATTGGGGTACAGGCACTCCTCCAACACGCCATGCCGCCTACCCACTGCAGACCTCAGTAAGATGAGCGTTTTGCTCTCCCTATAAAAAAGAAGTAGTTGTGTTTAGCTTTGTCGGTGCAGTTTTCACGCATGGCACACCATCGAATTCCTTCAAGTGTCCCAGAGTGAAACAGCCCAAGCAGGGCTGTGTAGTGAGCTGGGGTTCATCCCCGCCCACTGATGGGCCGAGTCACACTCGATTCTTAATCCACATGCTCTGCTGTTGATCTCATGTCCTCCTCTGTTACGCCCTAACAGTTGACTGCTTTTGCGTACAAAGACTACCTGTCGTTTGGATACGTGTCTTTCGGTTTGAGAGGGACAGAAGAAATGACAAGACAGTACAACGTCAACGTCTACACTCCCACCATCTTGGTCTTTAAAGAAAACATCAACAAGCCCGCGGATGCCATCCAGGTATGTGCGCGTCGCCGGGTTTCAAGATCGCCCTCCCATTTTATCTCGGGCCTTCACATAAACCCTAAGCAGCAGAATCGAACAGAGCAGGTGAGGAGGAGAAACTAGTTTTTCATTTCTTCCTTCAGAGGCACAAAATTTAGAAACAAGTTTGTTTTCCAAAGGTACTGTTTTGCTTAAAAAAAATAATCTTTTGACAGTAGAACGGTGGCTGCCAGGGGCTACGGGAGGAAGGAAAGGGGAATGAATTAGTGCTTGGGGGTGCAGGGTCAGCTGGGGATGATGGTTCAGAAGGTGGATGGTGGTGATGACTGGAGAACAGTGTGAGAACACTTAATGCCACAGACGTAGACACTTGAAAGTGGTCAGCCCTGACCTGTGTGGCTCAGTGGGTTGGGTGTTGTCCCCTGAACTAAAAGGTTGTTGGTTTGATTCCTGGTCAGGGCGCATATGCCTGGGTTGCAGGCCAGGTCCCTGACTCGGGGCATGCAGAAGGCCGCCAGTTAATGTTTTTCTCACACATCAGTGTTTCTCTCCCTTTTTTTCCCTCTTTCCCCCTCTCTGCAAAAATAAATAAAATCTTTTTTAAAATGGTAGGTTTTATGTTATGTATATTTTACCACAAAAATTAAATACTACTACTTTATCTGCATCTCAATGTTTTGATAAATAGTATTTCTATTAATCATTCAAGTTCAAAATATTTTCTAATATCTGACATACTTTCTTGGTTCAATAGGTTATTCAGAGTATGTTTCTCAACACCCAAGGATTTTCTGGTCTGCATTTTACATGGATTTCTAGATTGTAGTCAGCCTGCAGTGTACGGAGTGGGAAAAAGTGAATTCGCAGTTGTTGTTCTGGAAAGCTGTACGATACAAGCATAAAGGCTGTGTTTCACGTACTCACGACTATAAACCCAATTTTGCCTGCCCTGAATCATTTCTGTCCTTCAGAATGTCTGAGAGATACAAATAACAAAGTGGTTGTCATACAGTTTTATAGTCTGCCTTTTATACTTAGTAACTTTGTTACTTTGGAGTTTACTTAATTACTCAGTTTGCTACAAATCTTGGAAGAAAATTTGCCAAAAGTGTAAAATGATTGACTTTTTAAATATGCCAGCAGAAGCCAAAACAAAAGTTCTCCATTGGAAAGAGCACTCGACATTGACCCGAATAACTACAGCCTGGCCTTCAGCCCTACATTCTGGAGTAGACCGCAGGTTTATTTGCTCAAACGGATCTTTCTTACTTTGTTATACTCCTGTAGCCGGGGTCAGCCACATTTTTTTAAAGATTTTATTTATTTTTTAGAGAGAGAAAGAAGGAGAAAGAGGGAGAGAAACATGGATTGGTTGCCTCTCAACACACCCCAAGCTGGGGACGTGGCCTGCAACCCAGGCATATGCCCTGACTGGGACTCAAACCAGTGACCTTTCAGTTCACAGGCAGATGCTCAATCCACTGAGCCACACCAGCCCGGGCAGCCACATTTTTTAGAGCTTATCAGTAAAGCTCATTTGCAGCAAGAAACTGTATAAAATCAACTGTTTCTTGGTTTTCTTTTAGATCCGAGCTTTGAAGAAACAGGTCGTTGATGACTTCGTCGCCCAAAACAAGTATCTGTTAGCAGCCCGGCTCACCAGCCAGAAGCTGTTCCACGAACTCTGCCCCGTGAAACGGTCCCACCGCCAGAGGAAGTAAGGATTCAAGGCTTTGCTCCACCCGTCATTGCCATAGAGGGGCCATGTCAGACTTTACCACAAGGCCGTTAAACACCTGCCCTGTGACAGAATTTATTCTTCATGTGACCAGGACTGACTGACAGCTGTTACAGGGGTGTGTGTTCATTCAGGGTCCCTTAGGACCAAATTGTTGGGTGTCCCAGCCTAGTCTGAGGGCCAGAGAAGATCTCCCTAAGGTGTCACACTTCAGCTGGACCCGAAGGAAGAGAGGCTTCAGCCAGGTGTCAGGGAGACGTGGTGACTCTAAAGAACACAGAGCATGAACGAGTTACCGTTCCCACTAGCGGATTCCACTCGGCTGAGGCTTTTGCTGGTCTCGGGGGATGAGCACTTTGCCCGTCTCACCGGCCTGGAGGCAGTGCTCAGGAGATGCTTGGAGAGCAGGGGAATGAGCGATGAGCTAGACTTTCCACTGGAATCGTTGCAAAGGAAGAATGAGGCCCAGTGACCTGTGGGCTGAGAGGTGTGAGCAGCTCTGCCTGTGAGGGAAGAACTAGACCAGATGGCTTCTGAAAGGCCCTTCTGTGTCAAGGACTCGGTGGCCGTTGCCTTAAAAGAAATTCCTAAGTGTGGTAGCATTTGATTGGGGGGAGGCGTCACTGGTCTGGAAAAGCAGCAGGTCAAGCGTACCCTGAAAATCCTCTCTCATTAGAGATTTCGAAGAGCTGGTTTCCATTAGTCAAAGTGTCCATTTGAGCACCACCCCTGCGCCCCCCCCCCCCCACTCACCATCACAGGTGCTTGTCATGGCCTCGGGAGTTGGCTATAACCTCTTCTGTCGCGGTGCAGGTACTGCGTGGTGCTGCTGACTGCTGAGACCACCAAACTGAGCAAACCCTTTGAGGCCTTCCTATCCTTTGCACTGGCAAACACACAAGACACAGTGCGGTTCGTGCACGTCTACAGCAACCGGCAGCCGGAGTTTGCCGACACCCTCCTGCCAGATAGCGAGACGTTCCGAGGAAAGTCAGCGGTGAGCCGTGGTTCCCGTGCTGATCCCCAGCTCCCCACAAGCAGGGGCGCTTGATTGCGTTCCCTCCTTCCTCGGGAGTTTTGAGCACAGGTTCCGGGAAACCCGGAACACTCTGAGCCTGTTATAAAAGCCCACTCTCATTAAAATAGTCGCTCAGCCCTGTGATTTCACGTCTTAGATTCTCAGCAAGCACCTTTCCTGTGAGTAAAGACTGAAGACCATCAGCCCTTCTCTCTAGTTTTTCCCACACAGGTCTAGTCTTGCAGTGTCCAGCAGGCAGCATCGTCCTTAGGCCGCCGATCATGCGCTTTCGAAATTCCCCTCCTCCGCACACCGGGCATCTGATCCATGGTTCCTTCCTTCCCTCCTCGGTCATCAGTCCCCACAGAAGCACACTGTTCTTCTCTGGCCTTTTTAACCTCTAAAAACAAAGGGTTCCTTCCTTATAAAATTAAGTCGGAGGTTGTTGAACAAAGTTGATTGAGAAGAAAGAGCTTTCACTTTTAATAGAAGCTTCAGAAAATTACCATAAAAAGTCACCATAATTTCTTTTGTCAGAAAAACTTGAGTTTGAGTCTCCTGCAAATGCTTTGTGCTCACCCATATCTGTATTTTGAGTTTGTTGCTGAGTTTACTAGACTCTTTCTTCGTCCTTTCAGAAAAGAAACTAAACAATAGTAACTCAGCATTCTTTTGAGAATTCTGATGGTTTTTCTCTGTTTTCTCCCAGGTGTCCATCTTAGAAAGGCGCAACACGGCAGGCAGGGTGGTGTATAAAACCCTGGAGGACCCCTGGACGGGGAGCGAGAATGACAAATTCGTCCTCCTGGGATATCTCGACCAGCTGCGGAGGGACCCGGCTCTTCTGTCCTCGGAAGCTGTGCTCCCCGACCTGACTGACGAACTTGCCCCTGTAAGCACGTGGCCCGGGAGCGTGGGCGGGACAGGGCTGGGGAGCTCCCGGGGCCCAGGCGGAGGGTTGGCGGCAGCACTGTCGGGGGGCGAGGACGGGACCGTGACTGTGTCGGGGGCAGGGACTTCTCCCACCAGGGCTCAGGGTCTGACCTTCGTCCATTCTCTCTCAATAGATTTTTCTCCTTCGGTGGCTTTACTCGGCTTCGGACTACATCTCCGACTGCTGGGATAGCATCTTTCACAGCAACTGGTAGGAATGTTACTGGATTGAATTTCTTGTGCTCCATTCATAGCAGGACCGCTGTTTTCTTTTGAGAACAAGCCTGTCGTTCTTTGATTTGAGTGTGTCTCCAACACAGGCACGTGGAGGGATGTCGACATTCTCAGCACTGTCCCTCTGTTTCTTTCGGTGACTTCATGTTTTTTTATTGGCCGACCCTTTCCCACCAGAAGGGAAGGACCACCCCTGGCTGTCCTTCCAGACAGCAAAGCCCAGGGCTGTCCTCTTCCTCAGGGCCCCTCTGGTGCCCAGCCTGGCGGCCGACACACAGGGAGTCCAGTGTACAGGTCACAAGCCAATCAGCGAATTGATCAGAGAAGGGAGGGATGTCCCCCTCCCACTCCAGGCGACCGGGGGCTCCTGAGGGACAGAAGCGCGTCTCCCTGCCCGCGATTCCCGGCACCAGGCACAGCTCCTGGAAAGTGGCAGGGCTCTACGGAGTGTTCGTGGGAGGACACCAGTCCTCGAGAACGCCGTGGAAGGTCAACTCTTCCTCCCTACGCCACCCTCTGAGCCCCGCCTGAACTACTCCAGGGGGAAATCAAACTAAAGGAAATCATTCCACAGACTTTTAGTCACTGCCACTTAGCTCATGGCATTCCCCCGTCCTGATGACGTCCTAACTGCCCTTGACATCAGAGTGTCCTCCCATGCTCACAACTCAAATCCGTCATCACCCTCTTACTGGTTCCTCCTGCAGGGCATGCTGGGCCCGGCCTGTGACACCAAGACACAAAATCAGACTTTTAAAACGAGCTGTGAATGATAACAGTGAAGGGGAATCTCTGCTTCTGTATCCCCGCCCGCTAAAGCCTCTATTTGTGTGAAATCCAGAAGTGTTTACTGATATGAAAGCTTTTTGGTTTGGGGTTGTTTGGGTTTTGTCCTTTTGAGCCAGAGAGGAAACTGGAAATCTGATGGATGCGTCACAGCAGCCAGTGGAGAGCCGGGCAGTTTGTAAGCTTGTTGACTTGCTTTTAGGCGGGAAATGATGCCCCTCCTGTCCCTGGTCTTCTCTGCCCTCTTCATCCTCTTCGGCACCGTCATCATCCAGGCTTTCAGGTAAGTCTTCTGCGGCCTCCCCGTGTGGTGCTGGGGGGGAGCCCCACACCTCCTGGTTGCTTGTCTTCTTTTTTGGTAAAACTCCCTTTTTTCCTCTTCAGTGACTCAAACGATGAGCGAGAGTCAAACCCTCCGGGAAAAGAGGAAGCCCAGGAGAAGGCCGGGAAGGCAGAGCCCAGCTTCGCCAGAGAAAACAGCAGGTTTCTCTAGCCAAACCCCAGCCCCCTGCCCTGAGCGGCAGGCCTCAGACCGTGGGGTCTCACAGAGCAGCGCTCGCACGGATGGGGGTGAGACGGGACAGCGCAGGTCACTGCTGCTTCCTGTTCACGGGGACCCTCTCCACATTCACACCCCACCTCAGTCTCGGGTGGAAAACTGGGGCAGGAAACCGAGAAGTGTGTCCAAGAGATGCTCAAGGAGCCCGGAGCACAAAATGGTGCATCACCGTAACTGCCGACACCTTTTCCTGTCCCAAGGTTTCTCCTACCCCTGAACGGCAGCACCTGAAGCAGCGAGGTGCAGGCCCAGGACTTCCAAGTAGGGACCGTCCCCCTCCTCCAGCGTGGCGGGCCCCAGGGTGTTCAGTAATGTCAGGCTAGTCTGGTTAGAACCCAGTGTTTCCTTCCCCTTGATCCTTTTAAAAGCGTAAAGGCACCCCCTGCCCTGAGAACACCTTAACTCCTCCGTGTTTCTCCACAGCAAGATCCCTAAAAAAGGCTTTGTGGAGGTAACTGAGCTCACAGATGTCACGTACACCAGTAACCTGGTGCGCCTGAGGCCCGGCCACATGAACGTGGTGCTCATCCTGTCCAGTGCCACCAAGACCAGCCTGCTGCAGAAGTTCGCAGTGGAGGTCTACACATTCACCGGGTGAGCTGCACCCTTGGGAGGCCTGGGGGGTTGGGGACAGTGGGCAAGGAGGCGCTGCGGGGAGATTGCGTCCTTCCCTCTCCGACCTCCAGGAGCTTTATCCATGCAGCGAGGTGTTGGCTGTGACCTTTCTAACCCAAAAATGGAAGCCCTTGCGAGGGGACAGTTTTTCCCCCTTGACTTTGTGTCCTTTCGGTCCTCCCTCCGTGAGCCCTTTCAGGAACCCGCCTGTGCTCTAGCTCTTGTGTGAGTCCTCGTCCTCTTCCCTCCCCAGGAGCAGCTGCCTGCACTTCTCCTTCCTGAGTCTGGAGAAGCACAGAGAGTGGCTCGAATACCTGTTAGAATTCGCTCAGGATGCAGCCCCCATTCCTAACCAGTACGACAAGCACTTCATGGAGCGCGACTACACTGGCTACGTGCTGGCCCTGAACGGCCACAAGAAGTACTTCTGCCTCTTCAAGCCCCAAAAAACAATCGAAGAGGAGGAAGCCATGGGAGCGTGTGGTGACCTTGACTCTTCCCTCCATCTGGGGGAACCCCGAGGGAAAGCTTCCAGTGGCCTTGGGTCCAGGCCCATCAAAGGAAAGTTGAGCAAGCTGTCCTTGTGGATGGAACGCCTGTTGGAAGGCTCCTTGCAGAGGTTTTATATCCCATCTTGGCCTGAACTAGACTGAGAGGATTTCCAAGAGACTTGAACTCTTCTGACTTTTTACAGGCCCCTGTGAACGGGTATTTTCAGGACTCAAACCATCACAACAGACAGAGCGTAGATTTTAGAATATTCTTCTAGAACAGAGGATAGAAGAATCTATCCTTTGTCCTATTCTAACCTAGGAGTGAAAATACCACAAGTCAAATTCCCTAGATCAAAATATTTTCCTTTGGGTTTTTTTTCCTCATCTGAATGCCGCACTATTTAAAACAGACCGCTCATTCCCTCTTCCTTCCTGGTCCCCGTCAGGCCCGCCCAGCGCCCTCCCCCTCCGTGTCTCCGGGGTGTAGGAGAAGCACAGAGGTTCGCCCTGGGCGGTGCGTGCAGGTTGCAGGCCGGGTCATTTGCCCTCCTGTCTCGCCCCTCCTGGCCCCACTGTGCTTCCGCCACAGCGCATGCTGGAACAGTGGGACAACCCGCAGCAGCTTCAAGGCCCCGCGTCTTGAAAGAGGCCCAGATCCCAGCAGTCTTACCTTTAACGGGTTTTTCCGGTAGTAAGTGGCTAATGTATATTTTGGGGGTATCCCCCTATAGCAGCTTGTCAGCCATGGTTTTCAAAATATAGGGCTGAGTGGGGTTCTGCATGTGAGTTGCTTTTCTTCCCAAGGCAAGAGAAGGGAGGGCTGGGCAGTGACTGAAGTGACCCCTTTGTGAGCCTCCCATCTGCCGCCTCCCCACACTAAACGTAGCCAACAGGGGCCCGCACGGCAAGAAGTACTGTAATGACTTGAGCCATTAACGTGTATGATTTCAGATGCCTTTCTGCCTCCGTCAGTTGTAGGGCATGGATATTAGGAGCCATAACTTTAACCTTGTTCTCTGACCGTAGAGGTAAGCTGCTATAAGCCAGCAGATGTTAAACTGAAGACACATTATCGGCACACCCGCCGTGAGTGGCGTCTCTTCAGTAAAAACCAGACACGTCTTCACGTTAAAGAACCTGACTTTTCTGCAGTGTGTGTTGGGCACTGTCTCCCCAGAATGCTGTGTCTTCGAGTCGTCTTCTGTGACAGGTGGACCCAGAGTGTCCCAGACTCCTGTTTTGCAGAAGGCTTGTTTACTTGGAGCTTCTGGCCTATTTCTGATGTCTCGTGTTCATCATTTCACTGCTAGCTCAGAACTGCTTCCCCGGTACCCAGGTGAGACCTGGCGTCAGCTGGCTGAGCTGCAAGGTCGCACCGGCTCCAAGCTGGGTCGTTCCCGCTGGTCAGAGAGCTTACCTTGTCTTTGGAGGATGCCCGTGGCGTTTGGGCCTCCTCCAAGAGTGAGCTGTTCAAGTGTCAGAGCAAACTGCCCTTGAAAGGCAGTTGGTAAAGTGAAGGGCCAGAATCACTGATGGGACAAACCCAAGTTTGATTTTCTTTAATCATAACTGCTCTAAATGAAGCCATTTGAATCCTGAATAGCTTAATTATTGAGCTACAGTGACCAGTAGCAAATTATTTGAGCCCAGGAATTTCTGTCGCTTTCATGGAATCTATAGCTTTATGAAAAATAATTAATCACTGCCAGGCTTCATTTTTCCACACGATCCTCTGAAACAGATGCTTACTCTGGCTGCCCTGTCTCATGGCGCCCCACCCAGGGAGAAATGACCGTGGAATTCATCTGGCTCCTCGATGCACCTGTCCTCAAATTATTTTCTGGGTCTTGTGTCCACATTGCTTAAATGAGTATGCTTTGGTTTGATGGTAGGTTTTTGTTTTTAATGTCTGGTACTAATGGGACTCCTGACCGTAATCCATAATTTGTGAAAACCAAAACCTCTCCAGATTTATTCATTTTTTAAAAAGTTGTTATTAAAGTAGAAATCACCTTCAGACAGCTCTACCTTCCATTTGTACTAAGAAAGGAAAATGATAATAGATTGAAAACATTCCTGGCAAATAACTTCAGTCCAAAAATAATTCTATAGGTCTCTTTGGGAGCAAAAGTGTCTGCCCAGAGGCCTGGGGAGCTCTCGTTTTAAAATGAACTTTACCCTTGACCCCCAAGCCTTTTCTCCTGAATGTTGTGTCCATTAACTTGTTTAGTTTTGTGTCAAATGTATGAGCCATTGTCTCGCTCAGCCAAGGCCACCATTTCTCTTTCTGATGTCTATAACCCCCAGACCCAGTTTGGGTTTTAACTTCCTAGTCTTCAGATACGTATCTTAATAAGACAACATTGATGACTTTAGAGGTAGGTTTTTGGGGTTGATAGAGGCTATGCATCATGTTTAGCAGATGGGGTTGAAAACTGGCCTTAAAAGTCTGTAAAATACACGCCCATTTAAAAAGGATGTTCTCACTGCCAAGGTGTCAGTGGCGCGGTCTGTCGAACGTGAGGCCAGCACCCCCGACCAAGCCATTTCCGTGAGCAAGGCTGTGCTGGTCCCACTGGGCACCATGGTCTCGCCGCCATTACTTGACCATGAAAATTTGGTTGTGGTTTTCAGATAATAGGGTGATTTCCTCCTCATTCAGTACATAAATGTTTTCCTGATATAAAGAGAAATGGGATCTGAATGTTTTGAGTGCTTTGCTTTGTTTGGGAAATGGGATTAGAAGCAAACACTCAAAAACCTTTTTTTTTTTAAGGAAAATTCTTTAGAAGATGATGCAAAACATTTTATCAAATGAAATGTTGCTCACATCCAAATACCTGCCCATTGTCCCTTGAAATCATGCAGGGCGGCAGCTGCTGGCACTCTCTGCTCAGTCTGTCCAGGAGAATAATTGTGCTTTCGAGACAGATGTGAAAAGAAAGTAAATATTTTGCACTTTTGATACTCTTAGGAACAAATAACTTATTTGGCAAATGGTGTCTTTTTTATGTTGTCTTTGTTTTGTATTGTGAACAGGTACTAAAGCTGATGTTATTTTTGTTTTAAGAATATTGCCGACTGGAAACAGAAATAAACTATTTTAACGTGTGATGATTACGGGCAGCTCCTGCATCACAAGAGGAGGGTGTGGTCACGGGCACGTTATCAACACAGCTGAGGTTGCATGTAACTCAGCACACGCTTAAGATCAGCTTGTCCCAGCTGCAGATTTCGGGGACTGCTGTCAGGATGCATCAGCTAGGAGGGCAGATAATGCAAACCAGGCTTCAGGGAGTGTCAGGAAGGGCTCTTGGGAGGCCGGCTGGTGTCGTCTGCTTTACAAGACGTTTCGGGTACCCCTCCAGGCTTTTGAGTGGGAAGTTTATTAGGGTCTGCGTGTTAGTTTCTTTCCAACTCTTTGTTCATGCTCACAGTGCTTCTAAAACCAAGGTGCAGCCCCCAACTCCTCGGAGGAGGAGCTGTATTTAAAAGGAGGGTACTGTAGAAATATGGAAGGATTATACAGTATCGTCTCAGAGTCTTTATTTTATTTCATTCCTCTGGTTTTAAGGTAGCTTGGACCTCAATTCTCCATCCCTTCCCCCTCTGTCCTGCACCATCTTGCATTAAGGGGAGAAAATCGGCACACACTAGTAATACCGGCTGTCAGATTAGAGGTCTGTATGCCCTGGTTTTACAGCCACCGGTGACACCTTTAGCAGGAAGTTTCATCGGCATAAACGCCTGAGTACCGACTGCTTGCTCGTACGTTCTTGAGAATGTGTCACTGAAGCATTTGTCACTGTTACGTTGTCTTGAAGAGCACGCGATTCAGACGACTGTCACTTTGGGGAGCACACACAGCATCTCAAACAGCAGGTTAGCAGCCAGGAGGGCCGTGTTTCCTGCAGAGAAGGGAAACCCGGTGAAGACCGCCTCCCCGGGCCACGCCTCTCCGAACTGCGCCGCCTTCTTCCCTTTGTCTTCCTCTTTGGGGGTCCCCCCTTCCCTACTCCTCAGTGCTGCCCCACTGCCCTCCAGACACACCTTCCCTGGCATTCCGCTCCTTCCCTCATTTGGAAATAGTGTTTTAAAATTCAGAAGTGTTCTTTTTTGCTCTGTGAACAGATTTCCCCCAAAAGAAAACCTATAATAATGATGTGTATTGTATCTATTATCGAACCCTCTGAGGCTAATAGGCCTAACTGTGTAAGGTTTTCTTACACAGTTATAATTAAAATTACTGGAATGGCATCTGCTCAAAGCACCTCTCCTAAGGCAACTAATTCCCCACTTTATTAATAAATGTTATTTACCCTTTGAGAATTCACTTTTCCACAAGATAGCAGGGTGATGGCAGAGTGCCAGCCACTCTGCCACTAAACTGTAGGTTGGTTTCTTTCTTTTGCTGACTGGTGGGCAAGCTAATAATACTTCACCACCTCCTGGGGGTTTTGTTAGGGCTCATTAGCTCGAGTTTGTAAGATATGCAATAATAGGCTTATTTTCTTCACTGTAGGACATACTCAGCAAGCAGATTGCCGAGTTACACAGAGGGACCCATCCATCTGCTGCCTATTAACTGGACTAACATCATTTAAACTAGCAGCTGCCTACAGGTCACAGATTTCTTGTTTACTCACCAAAAGGATCGTATGGAGGAGAGACTTCCACGAGGTCACAGCCCACCACGTTCAGGCCTTGACAGCCCCGGATGATCTCCAGAGCCTGCCCACCATCAAGCCATAGAGGTAATCATTTACGGTGAGAAGCAGCCCCTAGGGGCCTCGGTGCATCCTCCCAACACGTGCCCCGCCTTTGACTTGGAACTCTCGCTTTCCCTCAGTAAACGCTCACTGACCGCCGGGCACACTGGCGGGCATCACAAATGGCCAAGGCACAGTCCCTGCTCCTGAGGGCTCCACAGTGTGATGATGGGGACAAGCAAACCAATCATTTCCATGTCATGCAGGAAGGACTTCAAGGAAAGCAAGTGGAAAATAGGACGGGAACACATAATGAACAGCCCCGAGAGGTGGGGGAAGGCCTCCCCAAGGCGGAAACACTTAGCTCAGGAAATTGACCGAGCAGGTGAGCAGGGGAAGGACAGCCCAGGCAGCGGGGAAAGGGCCCCAAGACAAGTACCCACAGTTGGATGTGGCCGGGAGACAAGATGAGGGAGGGGATGGCAGGAAGAATCGCTTTGTCTCAAGGAGCGTCCACTGTGCAGATGAAACGCCCAGAAGGATGACAAGCTCAGCAGTGAGGATTGTGTTTTAGAATTCTCTCTGATGGGAGCTGAAAACGGCTTTGAAGAGGTAGTTATGGCCATCCTCCATAGAAGATGTGAGCTAATTCGTGAGGTTTAAGCAGTCTCCATTCATTTCTTCCCCCAAACCTTCGAGTACCTACTATTTATAGGCCAGGCCCTATTCTAGGCTCCAAGGAGAGGGCAGTGAACCAAGCAAAGGCCCTAACCTCCTGGAGCTCACCCTCTCTTATAACCACACTCCAATTCTGCCTCCCTGCAACTGCGCTCAGCACAGCCTGCAGGAAATTATTTGGGTATTTCTAAAAGTCTTGAACAACCTAGGTAACTGGTTAATCCCACGGTGTACTTTTCAAATTTAACCCCAAAAAGATAAGTTTAGTGTTCCTAAGAGGGCTACTCTGATATTGTCCCCATGAAGCAACCGCAGCTGGACCAGCGGCAGCGAGATCAGGTGAAGGACTTATCCCAGGTAAGAAACGAGGGCCCTGGCTACAATCACTCAGTCCTCGGCAAGTCAGTATTCATGCCTAGGGTGGCCGTGAGAACAGGAAAGTCCTACCTGATCTGCCTTTAAAATCCTATCCTGATTCCCGAAGACTCACCGCAAGGCCCAGGAAAGCAGGGAGTTAAAAATCCTCATCCCCAGGTATGGTCACCCGTGGAGCCTCCGTACCTGACTCGGGGTGAGGCCAGCAATTTCAGGTGTCCCCGTCCCTGGGGCGTAGGCGGGATCCAAGCCGTCAATATCAAAGCTGATATAAATGGGTTTGCCCCCCATCTGCTGCCTCACTTCTGCCATCAGAGGAACCAGCGACTTCATCCAGCAGTCTTCAGCCAGCACCACCCGGAAGCCCTGGGGAGGGAGGAATGGAAGAGTGGAGGTCAAGGCTTCTGCGTGGTCAAGGCCGCATTTCCTTGGCATTTCCTGTGTGCCAACCCCATGCCGAGCTCTGCGCACTTCACATTGGACCCTGAACCTTCATGAGGAGGGTGTTATCATCCTTATTTTACAGGGGAGGAAGGGAGGGACGATGACGATGACAGGTAAAGCAGACGAAGGTCAAACTGACGTCTGGAGACGGGATCAGAGAGAAGCGTGGCTCACGCGAGAGCGAGACACTCAGGACAGCCCGTGCTAACGCTTCCCAAGCAGCTCTGTCCGGAAGCCTGGCCTTTGCATGGGGACTCGAGCCATTATTTCTGTTGGGTCTTGTCACCTGTGTTCACCTAGGAGCCACTGCGTCCAGCGGATGTGAAGGTGAGCACTAAGGGGGCCACTCGCCTTGGGTTTGGGCCTCCCCAGCTCTTTCCCAAGCCAGCAATGGCCCGGGGGGTCATTTCTGCTCATCTCCCCATCCCAGCCGCGGCCTCATGAGCTAACATTCTCGCCCCTCTCTGCTCCACATGACCCTCTGGGTGCCAACTCAGCCTCTCGTCCCTGTTTCCTGAACTTGACTATTACAGCCCCTGTGGAATCCATAGCCGCCACTGAGTGAGCAAAGGAGGAAAGCATGTTGCAGGCAGGGGACCGAGGGAGAGGTGTTCGGTCTGTCACCTGGCTCCGGCTGTATCTGCAGGGATCCAAGGTGGTGGAAGAGCCCCTGATGCCAATCTGTACTACGCGCTTACAGTCCAGAAGTCCCTCGTCCACGCACCGACGGAAGGGCGACCCGTGATAGATCTTCTCTCCCAGGGCTTTATCCGTCGTGTCCATGTGAGCGTCCACGTGCAGCAGCCCCACAGGGCCGTGCCTGAGGACAACGGGGCAGCTCAGAGGCCAGGCCTCCTTACGGGGCCTGAGCACAGCCGCCCTCCAGGCCACCAAGACTTTATGACAGCTCATAGCCAAGGAGGGGAGGCCAGGCATCAGTCACGGGCCTTGCTGGTTTCTGTCTTCAAATGACTTAGCATCTCAGAGCAATCCACTGAGAGAAGTCGGGCCGAAAATAGACCTGTGCTTCAGCCTCCACCCACTACCTATCGCCCAGAAGTTTCCTCACTTGCAGATGGAGAGAGCTGGGTTGGTGACAACGAAGGAAGAGTGAGCTCCGCCAAACTAATCAGAGCCCCCCTTTCTCCAGCTGTGGCACCAGGAAGCAGCCTGGGCACCCAGCTCTCTCGCCACAATGTCCATCGACCCTGCTGGCCAACCAAAAGAAACAGGCAATCCGTAACAATGCGAGGCCAACACAGCTGTGTGCCCACCCACCCCAAACCGGAATGCTACCCACGTGTCCTTTTCATCTATGGATCTGGAGCTGCCTCCGACTTGGCCCATCTGTCTCGTTCCCAGACTCATTCACCCAGACTCAAGTCAGTCCATCCTCGGTAGACTTCTGCTGCTGCAAAAGCCGGCTTCTCCCAGCTTTTCTGGGAGGGGGACCCTGGCAGGAAAAAGCCAGGGCCTCTCCTCAATAAGCAGCAGCACTGGGAAGCCTGTCAGTATTGGGGTTTGGCCTGCGAGCAACAAGTTAACTGGGCTTGTCTATTTCACCAGAGGCTCATCCTCCCCAAAGGGAGGCAAATGCTGAGCGTGCACACCAGAGCAGACCTAGGGCAAGGGAGGCTGGCCAGAAGAGTTAGTTAATAATAGTCTTGGCTTCTAGCTGGTGACTGACAGAGACACCTGGAGCCCGTCATTAGTTTCGATCCACAGAAGCAACTCAGTCGGGAAGCTCCCACCACCCCCAATAACCTGAACCAGCAGAGGTCGCCTGACACCAGCTAGCAGCAAACGTATTCCTGAGCTCCCGAGAATTTTGAAAGCTCGCCTGGGCCCTTCGGGACTTACTTTTTTGCCATGGCTTGCAATATAGGGTATGTGATGGTGTGATCCCCACCTGTGAAGGGAAGGAAGAGGGAAAAGTCTGGAACGTGGACAAGAAGACAGGACTGCGTGTGGCACAGAACGGCCTTCAATGGGCCCTCTCTGTGTGGCTGAAGAACTACAGCCCCACCTAACACGAGAGTTTGTTCAGTGGGGAAAGGGACGCCGGGTGTTTGGAAGCACGTCGTCATTTAAGAGAAGAAATGAGACAAATTAGGGCTTCCAGGTGAAGTGCCCAGAACGGCCCCATCCAACGGCACTTTCTGCAGTGACGCAAACGCCCTGCACTGGCCCGAGTGGTGGCCTCTCACCGCGCGTGGCTCTTAAATCAGGGCTCATGCAACGGAGGAACGGAATTTTTTATTTTATTCAAACCCACGATTAAATGAATACTTATTATTTAAATAATAATGTAAATGAACTCAAGACTAATTTTAGCCCCGGCTGGCGTGGCTTAGTGGATTGAGTGCTGGCCTGCAAACGGACAGGTTGCTGGTTCGATTCCCTGTCAGGGCACAGGCCTGGGCTGTGGGCCAGGTCCCCAGTTGGGGCCGTGCGAGAGGCAGACGATTGATGTTTCTTTTGCACGTCGATGTTTCTCTCCCTCGCTTTCTCCCTCCCTTCCCCTCTCTCTGAAAATAAATAAATAAAATCTAAAAATTTTTTAATTAATTTTAATTTCAATAGCCACATGCGGCTAGTGGCTACTGCTCAGGACAGCACAGGTCTAGAAAAGTATTACTATGCCTAACTATTAATGACAACAGCTAACACTTATTGAAGCTCAGAATAAGCCCAGCACGACGCCTGGCCTTTTGCAGGCACATTCGTTACATGTCCCTCGCACAACAGAATGTGGTAGGTGTGGTGTGATTATCATTCCCATTTCACCGGTGAGGGAATGAGGCATAAATAGCTAGTGGGGGGTGGAGCTGAGATTTCAACTGGGCCACCCAGAAACCACCACGCTTTGCAAGCCAGGCTCTCTATTTCGACGAGAATAAATTTGCTGTTTAGAAAAAGGCCGATGTCGTTTTAGCTGTTTGTGAACCAGTGGGCATGGGCACGGTGGGGAAGGGGAAGGGAAAGCCACACTGACATGGCTGGACCCTGAAAAGGAGGAAACCGCCCTGTGTGGTTCTCCCAAAGTCATTACCACACTGTCCTTGAAATAGTTCAGAAGTCTCACCGAGCCCCTGTCGGCAGCCTGCTCCAGGCCGGGGGTCCGGAGCCGGGAGAAGGGTGAAGTGATTAAAGTGGGCGATGCAAAACTTAAGGGTTGCCAAACACTCAGTAATGGAGACAAATGCTCCTTTAAAAAATAAAAATTCACGCACACAATCCATGATAGATGCACTCTCCCTCCCAGAAGCAGACCTCTTCCTTCCCTCTCAGAGGTGCATCTCCTAAACCTGGACGCGACCTCATAAGACCTGCAGCCAGGGGAGCAGTGGGCAGCGGCATCTCGTCCGGGACAGACTGGCTGATCCTGTCTCCGAGGCCCCCTTTCACCGACTTCCCAGTGAGCCCAGCAGCCCCGCCCAGGCTCTTTCCTGTTGCTTTTTCTATGCTAAGCCCTAAAACTGTCCCCAGCTTTAGTCAATGTACTCTCAAAATAAAATTTAAAAAAAAAAACTTTTCAAGAGATGATAAATTTTACAGAAAGGTGGGACCAGTAACTGCGCTGTTCCTAGCCATAGCAGAGCCTGAGGCAAAAGGGGGGAATCAGAAATGCTTACTATTCACTTTCACGGCACCCCTTACATTTTGCAGAGGCAAATGCCTCCTTTGCCTCGTCCTAGTCCAATCCTATCTGCCGTTCTAGTCCAGCATTTAAATATCCTGTCCTCAGGTAAAATACATGAATTAACAATGTTCTCGCTTTGGCTGGTGTGACTCAGTGGATGGAGCACTGGTCTGCCAACGGAAGGCTCACTGGTTTGATTCCCAGTCAGGGCACGTGCCTGGGTTGCAGGCCAGGTCCCCAGTTGGGGACACACGCAAGAGGCAGCACATCGATGTCTCTCTCTCTCTTTCCCCTTCCCTTACCCTCTCGCTAAAAAATAAATAAATAAAATCTTAAAAAATATATAATGTCCTCTATCCCACTGTCTCCACATCCACAGTGGCAGGCTCTGGAGAAATAGCTGTACTCTAGCCGATGGTAAACAATCCCTGAGCACAGCGACCTGCACTTGCAGCAACCTGCACTTGACCTGGCAGTTGTCATTACCTAAGGTCAGAGGAACACAGCCAGCAGCTACAATGTTCTGGTAGGCCTCGTGAATGAGGCGGCAGCTGTCTTGGAGGTTGTAAAGATTGACATTCACGTCGCCTAGGTCTGCAACCGTGAGGGACTGGAAGGGGAGGGCCCCTGTGCTGGGGTTGACCGCCCGAAGCATCACTGATTCCTCCCGGATCCGCCGGGGGCCAAATCTGGGAGGAGAAGAAACATCCTCTGAGCATCCCTAAAGGCTTGGAGGCGCTGCCTCAGCAGGGGCTTCTCAGCCTCTGCAATAGTGACACTGGGGGCTGCATGTTATGGGGGGCCGTCTTATGCATTGCAGGATGTTTAGCAACATCCTGGCCTCTCCCCACTCGATGCCAGTAGCAGCTCTTCCTCCAAGTTCTGACACCCAAAGATGCCTCCAGACACTGCCAAATGTCCCTTGGGGGCAAAATGACCCTGGTCCAGAACCACTGTCCCAAGCTACATGTGGAAGAGATAAAAGGCACAGGCCTGGGAGCCCAGCCATCACCAATTCACTAAACGGCATTGGATAACTGAGTCTCCCCGAGCCTCCGCTTCCTAACCTGTAAAATAATAATAATGTTTACCGGGCCCCATTGTTGTAAGAATTAGGTGAGATTATCTATACAAAGTGCCTTGCACTTAGTAGGCCTTTAATAAGTGGTGGCGTTTATCATTTAGACCAGTAGTCAGAGGCATTGTCACTGAGCTTAATCAGAAATAGGTGAAGGTTAATAATCAGGAAAATGGATTTACTTCCCCTGACTTGAACTTAGGAAAACTGCCTTAATTTGAGCAATTCTTGAAGCAGGTGACACCTAGAAGTTTTGGGAGGGGGCAGCCAGCTGCTTCTGGTTGTCAAATGTCCCCTGCCCCTGGACGTTGGGGAGACCCCAGCCTCCACCCCCGCAAGGCCTGGGGAGCAGGGTGTGGAGAGGGCCCCCTAGCAGAACCGCTTTCTTTACCAATGGATGTCACACGTGTTGAGCTCTGGGGGTTGCATCAATTCTCCTCCAACCTGACCCCAGGTGAGCAGAGGTGCCTGTGCGGGCTTCCGTGCCCGGCGGCTCTTAGGCTATTTCAGCCACGTGTCCCTGAGTCCTTCCGTCCTTACCTCGCCCCAGGCCGGTTGGAGGTTCCAATGTCCAGGGGCACCCCTACAAAGGCGGCATCCAGCCCCTCAGGGGACGTCTGCACCGGCAGCCGCATCATGGAACAGACGCCTACAGGTCGGGCCACGGATTCAGAGCTGGGGGGCAGGTTCCTGGGGGTGTCGGAGGCCTGGCGGCTGAAGCTGCGGCGGTGGTCACAGAGCCCCGCGGCAGGTTGTGTGGCCCCGCCGGCTCCCCGGCCTCGGGCACAGAGGGAGGCCAGCAGCCGGAGCATGCTGCCCACCCGCCCGACCTGACTCGTCCCCCACAGCGGCCAGGTTGCTTGTGCCAGCGACGGAGCCGCCGGGCTCAAAGGGCAGGAGCGCCCGGTGGATCAAGGGCGGGGGAGGGGCCCCAGGGACCTAGCCGTTCTCTCCCTACACCCCTTTCTGGACTTCAGCCTCTGCCTTTTTTTGATCGATAAAGCCAGCCCAGGGGCTCCCTGCTCACACCCACCCACGCTGTCCAGGTGCGTCTGTGCCTCCCAAAGCCCTTGGCAGCTTCTTCTCCTATTCAGAGAAATATTTGTTGAAATGCAAAAGATTTGAAAAGAACTTTCTCTAAACAAGAGAAATTAGAAATGCATTTAAAAAAAATAATGTATCAAGAAATGTCTGGATGGGATTCTCAGGAAGCCGAAGTCTTTCTAAATAATTTTTTTTATTAAGAAATTAACCCTGGCTGGTGTAGTTCAGTGGATTGAGTGCAGGCCTGCAGACCAAAGGGTCCTGGGTTCAATAACAGTCAGGGCTCGTGCCTGGGTTGTGGGCCAGATCCCCAGTGGGGGCATGCGAGAGGCAACCACACGTTGATGTTTCTCTCCCTCTCTCCCCTCTATCTAGAAATAAGTTAAAATTTTAATTAAAAACAAAAAGGAATTAGAGGGAAACCCACTAGTCTGAAGTCATCTATTTCTAAGAGGGGAAAAGTCACACCAGTAAAAGGAAGTGTTTTGTAATGAATTACGAGAACCACTTGGTGGTTTGCTGGTATTATGTATCTTTTAATCTCTAGAGGTTGAGATTGAATGGGAAATGCACTATGTGGATTAAATCATAGACTTTACAGGAAAGCCACACCTTAAATTCCACCCCGCCCAGCCCCCACGCTGCAGGGCAGAGCAAAATTTCCTAATGGTCAATCAGGGATATTCGGGGTTGGAAGAGGCTGCTAGGAAGTAAGTAGTCCCCACGTTTTCTGGAACAAATGCTACAATCTCTCGGTTATTCTCTTAACAGCCCTGTGCCCAGACTCTACGACTACTTCTTTCATATCGCTTGTCCTGAATGTATCATTTCATTACTCCTGGTTTTTCTTTTTATTCTTCTCACAAATATTTAAGTGACTACTATGTGCTGGGCACTGAGTGACAGTGATTCCAACTTCTCTCCATCATTCCCTACTGCTGAACACGCCCTCCTGTTAAACCTTCCTCAGGTGGCCTCTCTGACCAGGTGTGCCCCTGTTCTTCTTGCACCCATGTGACCTCGAGGTGGCAGTTTTCACCTGTAGGCAAATGATGCACAATGCAAATTTTAGCCCTGGGCTCCAGTCTCCCATCTGCTAACTCCCCACCTGGACATTCCGACGGCACCTAGAGAGGGCTGTCAAGTTCGGCCAGCGACTTTGCACTTCTGTCTTGGATCCTGCTCTCCACCCCATTTTTCAGTAAGTCCGGGCAGTTTCCTGCGTGCAAACCCTCCACGCCGTTCCCCTGCTGCCACCTTGGTTCAGGCCTTCCCACCTCCGGCTTTATCACGTAGGCTTCTCTGCCAGATCACACTTCCTGAAGCCGGTCCGCTTTTCTAATCATGTTTCCCATTACACACCTTCAGGTACTGGGCCCTCCGGCCATTGCTCATCTTCCACGGCCCCACCCTCTTGCCCACTACCTCTCTCTGCTCACACCACATCCTCTGCCTGGAAGGTTCCCAGCGCCACATCAGCTGCAGCCCTGGCTGGAAGCACTCTGCAACTCTCTTAAAATCTTAACAATTTTCTACTTAGAATGAGTACGGGATCCGGAATCGGGGAGGAGGGGAGTTAAATCAGTGTATCTGCGTCGTTTATAGCGAAGAGAGAAGTCACCCCCACGCCCTTAGGTCCAGGTGGGAGGTGGGGACTGCATGGTTCCAAGCTGCCCTCCATTAAGCACAATGTTTCTTTGACGTTTCTTTTTTGACCTTGTAAATCTGCGGAAAACTTTCAGTCAATTTCATAACCCCATCTGTTTTAGCCTAAAAATATTGCATATTATTTACCAGTGAAACTGTCCCCCAAGACTTTCAAGTAAAGCTGCCATCCAACAACTTATTGTTTGGCTCCGCCCACCCCAGCGATGGGCACATCCCTGAGCCGCCCATCAGGGAACTGTGGACGTAGCTCGTCAACAGGAGCAACTCACCTTCTTGCACCTACTGTCTGCTGTAGAATGAATGATAGCCCTTCCTGGCTGTTCTTTTTTTACAAATATTTTGCTTCTTTTTTTGTTTTTAGGGGAAGGGAAGGAGAGGGGAAGGGAAGGAGAAAGAGAACGAGAGAAACATCAATGTATGGTTGCCTCTCATGTGTCTCCTGCTAGGAACTAGTCTGCAACCCAGGCATGTGCCCTGACTGGGAATCGAACTGCTACCCTTTGGTTCACAGCCTGCTCTCAGTCCACTGAGGTACACCAACCAGGGCTCTGGTTGTTCTCATGGGGATGAAATGAGGGCTGCCGTTAAGGTGGGAGACCGTTAAGGCACAGCACACCTTGATAAATAAGAGGTGGTGTTGTCATGGTATGTTTATCTACTGCCGAGGGTCCTGACCGGGGGTCACAGCACACTGGAGTATTGCAATTGGGTTACAGGTGGGACACAACATAAAGATCCCGTGGCCCTGGAGGCCACCAACTAGGCCGGTCACTTCTGGGAGATCCAAGACGGTGATCCAAGCAGAGCAGAATCTGACTTCCTGCCCTGTGATCCTCATGAGCACACAGCAGGGTCAATGTCACTTTTTGCTGGCCATGTGTCCCCACCTGGACATCCACCTGAGAGGCCAGCTAAAGAGTACACTACTACATTCACAGACAAGGACCCAGGGTCCTGCTGGAGGAGTTGGGTCCTGGGAGTCCAAGGACAAAGAGCAACACCCCAAGGCGCAGGGGTGAAGGGGCAGAAACTGGTCGGGGGGTCTGGCCGAGCAGCCCCATATGGCTGACGCAAATCTGTCTTCACATAGTTACCAGGTAGGTCCACCCATTTTTGGCCCAAGCAGTGTCCAAGTGAACTTCAGGGTGACTGCTCTAACAAAGCTTCTGGGCAGGGTGGTATTGAAAGTATTTAATGTCTGAGATGGCACGGACATTGACCGATGAGAGCAGAACACAGCTATCCGTAAACGGTGAATCGTACTACCTACCAAGGGGCTGTCAGACCCAAAGGAACATGTTTTAAATCAGAGCTGTGTCATTATTTTTAAATGCCTGACATGATTTTGATCAGATTCAAAACTGATTAATATTATCATATTTCAATTGTATAATTGTAACTGAAAAAATAAGACACCTCTTTAAATATTCTAACTTTTGTAATTTTTTAATGTTAAAATTTTATAAAATTTTTACTGACTAGTTGAGTTTCTAATTACTTTTGGCTGTCAAGAACCCAAAGCAACCCTCCTTAAAAAGTCCTGCTCATTACTGCATGTAGCCACTTCAGGCATAAAACCTGATATTAGAAAGTTATATTCACTGAAGAAAGCTAAAATTTTGAAAAGGTTTTATTTAGAAGTTTTGTATAAGCTCAATATTTAATGCTGTCTCTAATACTTTCATTTTATGTTTCAAATCAAAATCACACAATATGTAGAAAATAATGTCATTAACTGCTTTTTACCAAAACACATATGAATGCCCCTAAAATCACACCTCCAGTTTACCTCAGTGGGACGGACGAATTGTATCATTTTCTCTGTGTACCCTGACCGAATAAAGGCTTTAAGGTACTGTTCTAACAAACTGAGTTTCAATACCTGCTTCATCCTCTGAGCCAGCCTCTCAGTGCAGTGCCTCGTGGGAAAACAAAAAACAAGTAATAAAATAAATGTTTGGTGAGCAAGTGAATGATTGAACAGCTCTTCTGGAAGCTATAGTGAGCAGCTCTGGGGAGATTACTATTTCAGCCAAAAACTGTGACAGCCAAGAGTACGAGGAAAAACACTGCGTACGTTTCAGCTGTCTGCGTGGATTCCCTTTGGCCTAGTGCATGATGCAATGGTTCCCCATAGAAGGAGTCAACACTTTGAACTTGTCCGTGCTTGCACAAGCTCAGGAATGATCTTGCGGCAACTGCAGCTGCCCTGAGACACCTGCCATGTACCTTTACCTTCCTTGTTCCCCAGCCCCAAAGAGAAGTACAGGTATTTTTTAGCGTGTTCAGAATACTTTTATCAAAGCTTGTCCAAATCTTCACTCTTCCACTTCTTTTACCTATAAACTTACACACTGAGCAATGCCTCGGGGAATACTTTACACACTCACATGTAGTTATCCCCAACAATAGAAAATAAGAACATGTGCTATCTGAACGTGAGATTGGTCAGTTAGCCTCTCTATTCAGCTTGTCAAGTGGATATACGGAGCCTGATCGAGCTGATCGTTTTTATCCAGACAACAGAGTAACTGGCCCTCTTGGTCTCTCTCAAGTTCAAAATGAGAAAGGGAAGGCAGAGCATGAATTTACCTAAGGAAAGATCCGCCCAGTGAAGTTCAAAGAATATCACATTGTGCAGTTTCAAAGTCAAGCCAGGAGAGGGCACAGAAATGTCTGCTTGATCAGCTAATGAGGAAGAAGTCAGGGAAGGAAGGGCATGAGCTTCCATCCCCCATCAGGTGACACACAGTTGAGGTTGGTTAGTCAGTCTGATTTCATCCTGAGACCTCAACAGTTTTATTATAAAGTAGGCTACCTTAATGTAAGTTTGGCACCATTTAATTGTTTCCAGAAGAAAATGTTCCGATTTTTGCAAGCCCCAGCCAGTTGCCTGTGCATTTCTTTTAGATGGAAGTCAGCTGCTTCTGAGTAGCTGCTCTTCATCGGCAAAGTGGAGACCATGAGAGCTGACCTTTCCTGACTTCCTGGTGCTAATGTACAGCTGAAAGTACACCATCAGCAGGGTCCTTAGAGAGAAGGCATTAGAGAAATGCAAGGGCTGATTGTTAATTATAAACTATACACTCTGACTGGGTAAATAGATCTGACTCGAGTCATTAGTAGAACTGAATACTCAATAATTGATGAGTAAAGGGACTATGGCTGAAAACTGAGGTTCTAA